GGGATATTCAGTGCACAGACCGTGATCATAAGACATGCCGCAAATAGAAAATAGAATTTAGAAAATAGACATTGCATGTGAACGAAGCCTTAATAGATGGCATTTTATCTTTTCACTGGCCAAGCTCTTGGAATGCAACATGTCAGTCAGGAAGGTGCTATTGCAGTGCAGTTCTAGTTATGGGCTCTCAGATATGACTGCTGTTTCTTGAACTATTTTATTTAAAAAAAACCTTAAAGTTTCAAATAAAAGAGTAAATTGTATTGGGGATCTGTCTTAAAGTAGTCTCCTTTTTGCATCTAAAATATTTTTCATACAATACTTGAAAGCCCCTCTGAAAAAAAAGGAATCATAAATAAATAGAAACAGATACTATAAGATAAATTTGTTAAAATGGATGTAAATCCTTTTGTATGTTTCAAAACCTGGTACAGATCACACCTGTACATTAGCTAATGTTAAGTAATATAAACAAAGGAGATAAGATATAGGACATTAATTTACTGCTGGAGATAAGTGCCTCTGTGAACTGCAATTAATCCATTAGTCTATTAATTGAAATTCATTTATTTGAGATAAGAAAGGAGTTTACAGTGCATTAAGAGGTGTAACATCAAACGGAATCTATTAAGATGGATGATATTGCTAAGATGCTTTACTGTTGGAAGGGAGGGTCTCTTCCATGAGCCCCTTAAAGGTGTGTTCACAAGGAAGGTATTGTACTAGGTAGTTTGAACTAGCTTTGTGGAGACACAAACAGAATGCAGTCAGATAAACATCAGGCCTACCCAACTACCAGACTCGGCACCGAATGATCCTGAATTCACCGGTAGATCAGACCACACTACCCGTTTTCAAGGTGTGTGTCAGATCGCATTACACAGTAATGAACAAATTTTGAGTGGTGATGCAATGCTTTTCAACCCTGCTGAGAATTGTCACTATCACATCATGTACTAGGCAAGAGCGGCATCGCGTCTGATACTGTGTAATCTGAGAAGGTTATAATAAGATTTTTATTCTGGTCTGGGACATGAATAGCTGATATTGTTTTTAGAAATATGTTCTATGGGTAGAGTGACATCTAGAAACCCACCTTATAACCAAGTTCATCATTATAAGTCCTGTGAAATTAGTAATGTTTGAAAAGCTTGGTCGATAGGTTGCTACTGTTTAGGCAGAAAAAATGCTGGTCTCTAGAAACTAAAACAAAAGTGTAATAATCTGTCAAAAATACCCAGTTGCCCTGGAGGGTTTCATCTCTGTGTGCTGTACCCATTAGAAAGCATGGGCCCAGAAAGTGTTACGGGATGGGGTGTGGCATTTAAACACAGTGAGTATACAGATTCCAGGAATGTGACTTTTTCTGGGGATTAATGGCAGGTAATTGACTACTGACTTCTAAGTTAAATAAACAGACCCCAGGCAGTAATAATCTCACCTTTACTGAGGCCCTGTTAGCTTCTTGCTAACCCAACTTACCTGTTATTTTTTCGGAGGAATTTGCAAATTGTTTATGCAATTATTTTAGTGTGTCTGGGAAATGAGGAGGATTTTGCTGCAGAGAAAACAATCCATTGGAGGTGTTCAATAAATACTTTTTCATCCAGATTGAACATTTTGTTGCTGTTAAAAGCATCCATCTGAAATAAAAATGTTTGGAAATTATGCTGAGTCAGGGTGCAGATTTAGCATTGGCTGAGGGCACTTTTGCTATGGTGGTGGTTTTGACGGACCCATTGGCCAGGTATGGCCAATTTCTTATGGTAAGATTAGTGATAAAGGATGAAAAAAGAAGCCCTCATTTCTGCTTATATGAAATAAGATCGTGAAATTTGTTGGCACCATATTTATTGACAGGATATTCACTGAAATCCCTAGAATGGTTTGTTTAAGATAGAGCAGACTCCTCATACACAAGATACAGCAGACAGGCAGACTCTTTGTCCCTTATTACCTAATGACTAAAATTATCATTTATATAATTTTTAGAACCATGGTGGCATCTGAAATTGTTGAGCATTGCTCAGTATTGCGAACCACCATTTTTCATCTTCCAAGAGCAGTGTCTAATATATTAGAAAGAGAGAAACCTCCCTTTGCCCTGTTGACCATTGGTTCACCTGGCGGTGATAAAAACATCAAAGACCAGGAGAAGGCGGGTGCTGACAGGGAAGGAATTCCTGGTGCTCATCCATGTACCTGGTACAGCTGGGCTCTGTCCAGTTCAACCTTCTTCACTGATATGGTTATGAGCCAGGTTTTGGTTGAAAAATACCTCAATTGATGCACTTATCATGGGTCGTCTGGGTGACTCCCCATTACCACTAAGTAAATTAATTATTATCACTAAGTAACAAAAATGTGTCTTTACATTTGGTCTTTACACTTATTTTGAAGGAGAATAAATATGTTAGCAACCAATGGCTGCATTACAGGTTAATTTGAAGGAATTAAAGCAATGGGGATGGGGATAGGGGGGGATTCCAGAAAATGTCTCTTTTGTGTTTTAATACATGTGGCGTATTAAAAAAACCTGTTAAAGAAATACATCTTAAATTTGTTCGAATAAAATATGAATAGATGAAAGAAAATTTCCAGGTGAATGAATGTCCTCTTCTACATGTTTTGAATAAATTTCATATTTTCTGATGGAGGTTACACGGCCTTCCTGGAAGTATATCCCGGATATGTCAGAGTGGAAAAAATATTTATTGAAGATTTTTAGAAAGGTCATATAGTGTTGCAAGTAGGAACTTTCCTCTCCTCTTACACATCCTCTGTCCTCGTATAACTTTCCCTGGGATGAAATTTATGAAGGCAGTGAAACTTGGGAGTCTGGTTGTTTTTTGTACGTCTTAATTTGTGTCTCCTATCAAACTATGTCAACCTACCTCAGTGCTGGTTGCACTTTTCAATCTGCAAGTTGATTTTGATTAGTAACTTCATACATACTAACACAAGCATGCACGCAAGTGTACAACACACACACACACAATCATACATGTACACACACACACACACACACAATCATACATGTACACACACACACACACACACACACACACACACACACACACACACACACACACCTCCATTCATAAAGTGCTGGGGTGTTATCACAGCTGAGGCAGTTTAGCCACATAGGGACCACACTGCTAACACCATATAACTAAAGAGCAACAATAACATTGCCACAGAAATCATTAGGAGGGAACTCGGTGCAGTTGGGCGTAGGCACATTTATGAGAAAGGCGGGCAGGTGGAGTTGATAAAGAGGGTTAAGGGGTGGGCGGGGGGGAGGCTACACATTGTTGAAGCTTTTTCAGTCAGGTATATTTTTGGTACAACTTAATTGTGTCAAACATTGTTATTTTGGGTCTACATATAAAAAAGTAATATTATCAGATATTAAATTGTTCATTTGACATATAAATTGTCTCTGGTGTTAGAAAGATGTTAGGCAATTCATTCCTCTGATCCAAATATATTTAAAAGGCTTTGTATCACTATAAAACATCAGTGTTATCTAAATGTATGTTAATTTTGATGAATGTTTAAAACCATTATTGTATTAATATTTGTCAATGTTATATCAATATATAATATTGCAATATGATATTAGTATTTTGTCAATGTAATATTAGTAATGTATTAATATTTGTCAGCATTGTTTCAATATTGTGTCAATATTGTATCAGTATATAATGTCAACATTGTATCAATATAAATTCAATATTATATCAAAATAATATCAAAGTTTATCAATATTGTATCAATTTATAACTCCAGGGTGCCCCTGGCCCCACAGGTCCAATAGGAGAGCAGGGATACCAGGGCATGGAGGGCCCTCAGGGTCTAACAGGACCTAAGGGAGAGAAGGGAGACGCAGGAAGACAAGGCCCTACAGGACCTAAAGGTGATAGGGTAAGTGATGGACAAAGATGTTTACCTTGATGGAGCTTATCTTGATGGAGGCAGGTTTCCAGTTAAGGCACCTGAAGTGAGGGTGTATGTTAATGCCAAATGCGTTATGTAAAGCTATGTTGTTGACTGCATTACGTCATGCAGGTCTCCTTGTGATAGTGCTTTGGTTGTGTATAATTTGGCTTTGTGACAAGTTTTCCATTTGAACCTGAACAAATTTTAAAGGAATTCAGAGTTATAAAGGATGTTCAGTCAAAAATTATAACTTATATGCAGACATGTGATGGATACAATTATTTTACCAAAATATTTTGATATTTTAGGGCAAGATAGGAATGCCAGGTTTCCCAGGAGTCAATGGAATTCCAGTAAGTATCACAAATAGAGGCTGGAATATTTTATTCCATCGTTTTTTCCATGTCAAGGAAATTTCCTCCTTTTTTCTGAATGTTAAACCCCATGAACAAGGTTTCTACTCCAATCTCCCTTGACACATTGTCAAAGAAATGGAAGAGTTTTGTATTTAGTCTGTAAAATGAACCACCAAGAGCTATACTAAAAGTTAGCCTAGGTTTAAGAGCAACCAGCTTCTTAATTTTCAAACATCTACACATGCCTGACTGTCATGTCTGTTCTCCAGTGGAATTTGATTGAGAATTGTGTGCTCACATAACATGTAGTGGTCTTTTTCACATCATGCACTGCTCTTTTCTGTTTTGAATACATTGGACTGGTCCTACCGTGTAATTACATTTTGGGGTTGGGAGGGGGGAGGGAGATACAGAAAAGTGTACTGCTCAATGTAGAAAGGTTCGTAGTATGCAGTATACCTGTGGAGAATATTACTGTTTAAGTTCCTTCCACTGACGTAGCAAAGGCATGAGTGAGAGATGTAGTTACTGAAAGTACTTCCACTCTTTGATATTAGATTGCTCATAGATATATCTGCTGTGGCTAGATGGAATTTTATCACCAAGGTCAGTTTATTGGTTTAGGAGGGGCATGCTCCATGTGCTGACCAGTACATGTATATAAAAAAACTTGTTGGACGTCTGCAATTTTTGGGGTGTAGAAGCTCATAGTTACCAGTGAAATTGAAAAGTTCTGTCAATTACTGTTGGCACCAAAGCTGCATGTGTTCCTTTACTAGTACATGCTTTAAGGAAGCAGACACCGTGGATTGCGTTATTAGTCATGTAGACACACACAGACTTATTTATGCACACACTCACACACACACACACACACACACATGCAGGCATGCACACACACGCATACACTCACACACACACACACCTGTACCCCTTCCACAAAAGCATTTCATTTTATTAAACTCTTAAAACTCAACTAGTTTTACATTTTCGCTTCAGTTGATGCCCCATCTCAACTTCTTCTACATGCAAAGTTCAGTTCCCTTCTAACGAAAAACAAGAAACAGTATATTGTGTCCTTTTAAACTGGGTACGATTGCAACAAGTTGTACTCGCTGAGCTGATTAGCCATGCCTTTGAATTTTGAGCCCTGATTTAAGCTTTTGTGCCCAAGTGAAAGAGTTGAAAAGTGACAGTCAGAAGCATGTGTAAAAACATTGAGTTATATGAGAGAAGGTTAAATATAGATAGTATGGAATGCTTTGACTTTTCTCTAAAGAGGGACAGAATAAAAAAGCAGGAAGAAACAAGTCCTGTGGTTCAATGTGGTGGTGGTTTGGGGGATTGGCGGGAGGGGGAGTAAATGGCAAGTGGCTGTACAAGAGTGATATACCCAACATATACACAACCACATGCCAAGGTACTGTCTATATAGTTTTATTAAGAAAGCACAGATTTAAAGAAAACAAGGTTGCAATCTTAGACAGTGTGGGCTTAGTGATACTTAATTTGCCACTTTCTACAAGTTAAGTAAGATAGATTTTTGGCAGCTGTTATTGGTAAAAGTCATCCATGTGTTATTATTGTGTAACTTATAACCTGTTTCCAGGCTATTGCATGGTATAGTCAAGGGTAATGTTAGCTTTACAGACCAGATCAATTTTAAATGGACAGTGACTTGGGGAGGGGGGGGCATTGATATTACTGAATGAAATTTGGTGAGGAAGTGTTCTGGAAAGGCAACAGTACAAAACCTGGCTGCAGTACAATATAGGCAGTATCTGTCCATGTCAGGTACTGCACTCTGGTCATGTACTCCAAGGGTTGAATACTTCTAGTTGGAAGTTGTGTGAGTTGACCACCCTGAGTTTCAGAGATATCTGGAAACTGACCTCCATTGCCAGCTTGCTTTGCTATTTCTAATGATCTGTGGGTCATTGTGCCCAAAGTTACAGGTCCAGTGCATGCCAGCTTCTTCATTTTCAAACTTCCAAATGTAAATGCCTATTGGGTACAAGCATGCTTTGGTATGGACATTTGAAAATGAAAGAGGTGCCCGCCTATATGGCCTTTGAAACTCAGATACAACATATTGTAAGTAAGGAAGATGGAGAAGAATTTCATCAGCTTTATAGTGTTGGAAGAGTTAAGTATTTTCTTCTATCAACAGCTGATAGTGTTGTTTATCAAAGTTTCAATGTCTGTCAAGAGCATCTTCATCTGGGAATGAGGTTGTCCAAGCTCACTCTACTCGTACAATATACCTAGGATTTCAGAGCCAAATTACATACAATGGCAGAGTCACATCAGTAGTGGAGGAGGCTGGTTTTCAGGTTTCTGTGGAACTTGGGGCAACTCAGAGCTAGGGACAGGAAATGCTCCACCCTGGAAATAGGTTACGCAAGAAATCTGTTGGGTTCTGATAGCAGGCAAGCTTCATCAAAATTCCATGCCCCAAATCCAGGCAGTAATGAACCATTAGCAATGCACTGAGTTGCCTTCACCAGTACTGATTACTGACACATGAGTTCAATGCTTGACTGGTTTGATAATTCATTTGAAGTTTTGCTCCTTTTCTAAATGAAAACATGGAAACAGAATCGATGGTCCTGAACAATCGTATTGCTGTTGTCATTGGAAAAAAAAAAAAAAAAAAAACAGATTTGGCTTATGTAAAAATTATATGTTAGGAGTCAGCACCCAGCAGTTTTTCTCATTCTAATAATTATTGTGTCTTTCAATTTGGATTGACTATCATGTTTCTTCCTAATTTCTCAATTTTCTTTTTCTTACATTTCACAATTCTTTTTTTTTTTTCCAATCGTCACTCAGTTTCAGTGTCTTTTTACAAGCCAGTTAATAGCGTAGGCAGTAAACTGTTAATAGTTCACATAAACTGGCCGGGTTATTTCACAGTGGCTCTCATTAGTGCTGACTAACATAGAATGTTCACACAAGTCCAAGAGTTCCAAGAGTGTCAGTTTTTAGGGGTGTGAATTGCTAAAAAATGCTTTTGTAAGCACTGGCATTGATATTTAACATCACATTTAACTGAAATATGTTGTTTGAAGGATGACTGAACTACCTCTAGTAAAAGGTGAAAAGTTGATTGTATCACCTCTAGCAGAGAGTACATATGCAAATTTCAGTATTTCCTTTTATTTGGAAGGAAGTGCAGCATAACTGGAACTCTTTCCTGATGCTTCCAGTTCAACTCTCTCCTTCATTAAAATAATGTATACTGTAAGCTGTTTATGTTGTGGTTTATGCTTGAGGTAATGCAGTCAAGTCTTTTCTTATGAATGAATATCTGCACCAGTCCAGTTCAGGGTCAGGTTCACTTTGTGTGAATTTGCCTAATTGCATATATATCTGACCTGAAGTTACATATGGTATGAATCAGGGTCTAGACAGCAATGGTATAAAAACACTGAGAGATTTGGTCTATATTTCCTGAAAAAAAAGCATGGAAGGCATTTGTACAGCCTTCTCCTATTAATTCAATTTCATCCTCCTGTGCAGATCTGATGGTATTGGGTAGTTTGGTTTTGGTTGGCTTCCGTTTGCAACTGAAATCACAGTTCAACAAATGGCCAAGCAGGCCAGCCAGACAAGTTTCTAAATTTAGGGAGTAGTGTTGGGAAAGGGATGACTTGTGGGGGGGGGGGGGGCTGTTTTTTCAAACACTATCTCAAATTTAACTGTAATTCAAATACTGAGAGCTTTCAAAAATTTAATTTTCATATCATTTCATTTTTAGTACTTAATCAGATATATTTAATCTTAATTCATTGTAGCTCTAAGTTGTGCTTCCTATCATAATTTAAAAAGCCTATTTTATCTATTGCATTACCTGAAATTAAATGCCCTACTCTAATATCAATCATCAGATATTCTTTGGACTCGCAATATCCTTGAATAGTGTACAGGGGATTTCACTGAAATCAGATATTTATTGTTAGTATGATATTTCAGGCTAGAGTGTATTATAATATATATATATTCAGTAATTATGTTGTGAATTGCAATTATAAGAAAAAGTGCACTTTCTGAAAGTTAAATAAAGCTTAGTGAGTCAGAGCATTTGTCTCAAATGAGTTCAGAGTTGCTTAGGGTAGGTGTCCCACTGAATTTTAACCTAATGTTTTGATTATTTCTCCTTAAACTTTATTCTGATTTTTATTATTCCCTAATATTTCATAATTGAAATTCTCATTAGTGGGTCCATTTTGAGTCAGAATATTTTCGTGAGTAAGAGTGGATGCATTATAAATCTTGAAATAATGATGTTTATCAGAATAAGTGTGGTGTTTCAAATTGGTGAGTTATTACCGTAAGCAGATTTGGGAGAAAAAGGGTTTAGCCTTTAACCATGTGGTTAAGAAAAATATACTTAAGTGTGGAATAAAAGTGACATTTAAGTTTATTTATTCCCTGCTACGTAATCTGCTGGGGTTCTCAGACATTATTGTAAATGATGACTTTTGTTAAAAGTCTTTATCCGGTTTTGGTAATATGATTTTTCTGTGCCAGTTTCTAGAACAAAAGCCAGTCTTAGGCCTGAGAGATTCCATGTTAGTTTCTGGAAGAACCATGCATTAAGTTTCATACAGGGGAAAATGTGATAATTTTCTTATTATTAGAAACAAATGGAAAGACATGCATGCATACTCATACTTGAATATATATAAACTGACAAAACAAATGGCTTTACATAATAACTGAAATACGAAAAAAAAAATGTAAATGTGCAATTTTTTAAAGATATGAAAAGATAATTGTTAAGTTTCCAGACATGAACATGAGGATTCAAGCAGACATCCAATGGCTTGTGTTTATTTTAGCAAGATACTTCCAGGCAAATACTCTACAGGGACAGAGTGCACCTTTATCTCTCAGCCTGCGGGGCTTTGAACACCTTTTGATGGGAGAACACCACTTGTGCTGCAGAACACTTCACATTCAATTAGACATGCATTGTGGGTATCCCTGGAAGAGGCAGCAGAGAATGTGTGGAATTAGTTGGAGGTTCTTTAATTGGGAGAGATAAGCCCCATTCACACGTACATGGTTAATCGAGATTAAGGGAATCGCGATTCTAACGCGCTTAGCTAAATTCACTTTTTTGCATTCACACATGTAAAAACGAAATCGCGATTTACCTAGCTAGATATGGTAATTGCAACTGCGCTCGCTAGGGGAGTCACGGTATATCCTGTTGATCATGCGCTGTAGCTGCCTTCAAGACCATGCTTTCGGTGTGTATGGTGTTATTTTCTGTTTAATATTCTCATCGGCCCAAATATTTGTTTATGCTGCCACTGAGTTTTCAGACCATACTTCCTCTTGGCCATTTTGCTGACTGCGAAGAAACTTGAAATTGCGTGGACAGTTTGTTTTCTTTCACTTTCCAGTCGGCGAATAGCTGTATTTAGCTAATGTTTCGTTTCAATTTATATCCGACATGAAATAAAATTTATTGTATTGTACTGTATTGTACTTTCGATAGAAACTATGCACGCGACTTAAGTCCTCAACTTCCGGTGTTAACATCGATCCCGTTCTCACTAGGAAATTTTATATCGCGATTTAAGTTTACATCGATAGAATCCACCTCTCGAGTAGGATTAATTTGAATCGCGATTTGGCGTCTCTACTGCGTTCACACTAGAAGCTTTACATCGATAGAATCGCGATTTGGCACTAATCGCGATTGAAAGTGTCTCGTGTGAATGTGGTTATTGTAAATGTGCTATTTTGGCAAACACAGAGAGAGAGAGAGAGAGAGAGAGAGATGGGGAGTAGGGTCGAAGGGTTGATGTGTGTGTGTGTGTTCGATAGAAAAGAAAGCAAAGTCTGTATACCATATTATATTGTTGAAGACGCAACCAAATAGTTTTCCCCCTATCAATGAATGACAGGACAAAAAATATTTCATTCTCTCTGGTATCAAATTTAGTTTGACAGATATGGAAATGTACTGTCTCTGAACCTTACAAGAGGAATGAACCAGTAAGGACTATGGACCCCATGGTGACAACTTGAAGTTTCTCTGACTCATACCTGTTAGAAATTCAAACCACTTTTCTTGGGATCATCTTGAAATGAAAAACTTAATTGAAACAGTTGCAGACACATGTTAAATGTCAATGGGACCAATGCTGATTAGTCTCATATTTTGTTGATGTACTGCACAGAAGATGATTAACATCTTACATCTGTGCAATAGTCTTGGGATTGTTATATGGACATAAGGAGAAATAGTTCCCATGATAACCATCTTCAAGATTGCCCCTCTTCTCTTGACTGCCCCTAGATCTCAATTGTTTGTTCATTCATCCTAAAACACTCTCTTCAGGAAATACCTTTTAAGTGACAGTACCGTCAAGGCGTCTTCTCACACAACTATAGTGTACAGATAGAGGGGGAAAGTTTAATATGAATCCGTTGGTGCTGGTATTAGTGGTATATATCGTTTTAAGTCAATGTGAGGGGTACAAGTAGAAACCTTGCTCAGCCTTCTTCATTCTGTGTAAATATCTTCCTGGTATTGTTGGACTATATAGAACTATATGGATATATTTGAGCACATTTTTTCTGAATATTAATAGACATTATGTCCTACAGTCTGTATTGAATTTTCCTTGACATAATGTTTTCTGTTTTAGATGTATCTTGTTTCTTTAAGTGTAAAGTTATTAACTGAACACCTGGATTGTTACTTTTGACTCAGATGTGTGTTAAACAGCAACATGTTTGGATTCCATGGTTAAGAATATACTCTAATATATTAGATGATTAAAAACTGCTGACTCCATTTATCTATTGGAACATGGAGAAATAACATGGGTGAGCAATGAAATCATATGTGTTTGTACTGTATTTCAGGGTCTCCATGGTTCTCAGGGTCCAAGAGGAATTCCAGGGTTGGATGGTTGTAATGGCAGTATGGTAAGTATAAACAAACCCACAGCCAAATGGCTGCAAGGTAAAAATGTATGTGTGTCATGATGTCATCTGATGATCTGATTTCTGAAAAAGACTTACCATAAAATTGAGACAAGTTCTTAAAAACACAATCATCGAAAAATATAAAGAATGAAAAGTTGTTTTAAAAGATTGTCATTCCTCGATTAAACAGCCTAATTCTCACACAAAACCGATAAGACAATTTACCACTTTATTCCAACCACCTTAATATTAGTATCTTATGTTTTCGCTAGGGGGAGCCAGGTCTGCCTGGTCTTCCAGGAGATGTTGGCCCAGAGGGTCCACCAGGATTTCCAGGAGCCAGAGGACAGAAAGGTGAACCAGCCATAGTGGACAGGGGAATCAAAGGAGCTAAGGTATGTTGTCACTTCAGCAGTGCTTCTGTTATGTAACCCTTTTCAGGTCCACTGGTAAAGTTCTCTCTATTGGACTACTTGGAGATATTGACCGCATTCAGAACATTAGACTAACTGGTCAGCGGGTCAGATATGGCAACACACTAAAAAGATTGCCATCTAATGGGCTATTAGACACTGAATAGATTCTCCATGGGGAAGCATTAAGTGGGTCGGCCATATTTGACCTGCGGACTTGTTAGTCTGCTGTTGTGAATGCGGCTATTCACAGCTTACCAGCCTGGCGCTTATGTAAGGCTGTATTCACAACAGAGTTGATTTGTAAACTAAAAAATCTGTGGTTCAAATATTGCTGGCCCACTTGAAACCTAGCTGCATAATCCCTGTGGGGAATCTATTCATTGTCCATTGGGGGGGGGTTTCAAGTGGGTTGGCCATATTTGATCAAGGGATCTGTTAGTCAGCTGATCAACATTGTTGTTGTGAATGCTCTCTGAAACAGTCGGCTTAACATGTTGAACAGATTTCTTATTTAGATGAAAATAAATCAGTCAGCAAAATGAGAAAAAAAAAGAAAAAAATGAAAGGGTGTGACTAATTTTTTTTACTATTTGACAGATCCAAGAAAAAGAAGTCATGCAAACATATTCTGTTACGGTATTTGTACATGTTAAAATGTCAGGGTGTCAGTGGTGAGACGTATCTATTAGAGGTTGGCATGCTGTTACAATGAGCCACTGAGCTTGAACTCGTATAGGATTACATTAGTTTGATAGGCAGCTTTGTCATTTCAAAGACCGTGATCAAACGTGTCTGTTAGGATGATTTAGTGCATATTTTGCTTGTGTTTGGACCCATTCCTGTGCTGCCATATGCAAATGGACAATTTCCTTAAAATCAAGATGTGATTTGATTCAGATTTGGGGACACAAAGAAACTGAATATGTACCATCAGATTTTGAAGGTGCATTGAGTATGATGAATAATTAGTACCTGAAACAATTCTGATAAACTGGATGGGAGTTTTCCCCTATCAGTTGCTGTATATAAATATCATCTAGTTTTGTTTATCCTTTGGTTAAATTTGATGAAAATGGGCTTGAATTTAATACCCCGTTCACACTACGCTCAGTTATCCGGATAAGTTGCGAATTAGGTCACAATTCGAATAAATGCAGTAGTGAACGCAAGAGGATTTTGAAAATGCGCATTTTCAAAATCCTGCAAGCGAGGTGGATTTCTAAGCGCGATCCGGATAACTTACCGGAATCGACACCTGAACAGAACTTGCTGCGCATGTGTGCAGATAAGTGCGGGTATCTATGAACGCTGGTTTATTACTTTAGCGATTGCACCAAACGTATTTGGAGGTCACCACTTACTACAACATGAGGAAACAAACTTATTTTGCCACTTTATACTTCTCAAGAATGCTGGAATGTCTTTTGAGTTGCATTTGTCGTCACAAATTTTTGTTGATATTTTAAGATTTCCTGTGCGGCGCATGCGCGAGTGTTCAAAACAGGAAGTTAAACCTGAAATTTTCAACATGGGATTCGGATTCGCTCAGCGAGTGTGAACGCAATACCGAATCGGATTCCTTACGAAAAATCCGAATTATAGAAATGCGCATTTTGGCAACTGTAGTGTGAACGGGGTATAAGCCCCAGGTAACAGCTAATCTGTATTAAATCTTTCTTCATTACAAAGATTTAAATCTGTACAAACTGGCTCAGAAAGTTATCAGGACAGAAGTCTACAATGTGCCTATTTCCAGTAGACAAAATCCAGTCAAATAGGGCACTAGTGATCATAAACTTAAATAATCTGAAGAATTTCCTTCAAAGTATTGATTACCGTTTTTCTGTCGGCTGTCAGTAATGGGAGTGTGGCCCTGAGAGAGATAATGCAATATTTCAAACTCCATTGCAGATAACAATCTTGTTTGTAAGCTATAAACATTCAGCACCTCCTATTCCAGAAAATTTGAATTGAAAAGATTTTATCGTTTTTTTAGGAACAAATGATTGAGCTGATAGAATTTGATTCATTTTATTTCTGTGTGGGTGTCAACATTTAGTGGGCAAATGGACTGGACCCTTTAGAGATTAACCGATATACTGAGGAAATGAGAAGGAAATGAATTTGATTGAAAGATTTGTTTCCCATCTGGGTTATTTCTCTATACTGATATTTTCATTGGACTAACGCCACCATATGAATGTAGCGTTTGTTTGCCACTCTTGAACTGACCATACAGCGGAAATTTGTGAACTGCATTAGGTCTCATTAGGTCCAATCTACAGCAACTGATTTAGTTAGAGTTGATTATTTTATTAGACTTTCATTGATACATCCTAAGTTAGGTAATTATTAAAGAAAGCTTAAAGCCTGAACTGAAATATAATATGCTTGTGAAGGTCTTGAAAAAAATGAGTAGGAAATCAGAAATTGAGTTAAGTTGCCTTTAAGTTGTATATTATTATGCATTATATTTCACGAGGTCATTATAATTAATGTACCAGTACAGAATAACTTGAATGGAATATCTGATAAACATGAAGCTATAAAGAGTTCCACCATTAAAATTTCTTTCTTTTTTTCTTTTTTTTGTAAAAAAAAGTTTTGATCCTAAAGTCTACAGCATAACAGTATACAGTACTTACAGAAGAAAAACAGAAGTAAAAAAAACAAACATAGTACCTCCCTATAATAACTTGGATCATAGGACTAGCAAGTCAGAGGCAACTTTTAGTATATTTTCTTTGTAATTCCAGGGTGAACCAGGATATGATGGCCGACCTGGACCACCAGTAAGTCTCAGCCAGTTATTTAAACCATATTTATTTAGTTATTAATGGGAAAAAAAATTTTTATTAATGAAATCACTGTCTTCTCTGCTGTGTTATTGATGTCTTTACATATTATATAGCTTCCCCATTGCCAAAGATTTAACATGGTTTTGTGTTTTATTTTCTCTAGGGTGCTTCAGGATTAAATGGTTCCCCAGGTATGAAGGGAGAACAAGGACCACCAGGACCCCTGGTAAGCATTGTGTTAGGTGTGGTTGTGTTGTGAGTGACAGTGTGTTGGCTGTGACTTTACTGGTCTCTGTATAACCAGGACTCCAGGTAAGCATTGTGTTAGGTGTGGTTGTGTTGTGAGTGACAGTTTTTTTTAACAGTTCACACTTAACTTAAAAAGACCAATCATAAACCTTTGCCCTGCCTCCTCGTAAAACACAATGAGAAGTGGTCTGTTATCACAATGTTTTTCACTTTAACTCCAGGGTCCTCCAGGAGTGAGGGGGCCACAAGGTGATAAAGGTAACCCAGGTATAGGAAGACAGGGACAGCCAGGGTTACCTGGGCCAGCTGGTTCACGAGGTCCCAAGGGAGACCCCGGATCTTGTCCTTTCGTATCCGGTAATACCTCCATGGTAGTGCCCATAGTTGGACCAAAGGGAGAGGTGGGAATGAAGGGAATGAAGGTAGGAATCAGTTTCACTTTCATTTTGATTGAAGAGATGTTCATTAGTACGTTTTAGTTGAATAAGATGTGTAGTTTTTGGGAAGTCATTTTTGAAAGATATATTTTGGGAAGTTCTTTGGAATTTTAATGTATAATTTTATGTATGTGGAGCATGTACAATCTGAATGGACACAAACATGCACACACATACGTGCCATGTAACAAAACATGCACATATGCACAGTCACATGTTAAAACACTAAGAAAAAAAAAAGAAAAAAACTGTTAGAAGTAATGCATTACCTCCGTTTTTAGCCAATAACCTTGCACCCATCACAGGCAAGTGCAAAAAGAATTCCCCAAATTTGTAGAAAAATTTGAAAAACACATGGAAATCATAATCTTTTTAGCAGATGGAAAGCAGTGGAACAGAAAATTGATTTTTGCCAGAGAAATGTGTAGAAATCCCTCGTGTGTTACATCATATTGTTCCCCATTGTTCTTGATCTGCTTGGGTGTTTATGTGACCTGACTTGGCTGCTATTCTTGGATAGAAACCTAGGTTATACAAGCCCACCCACCTAAACTCAACAGAAAAAGTTTTATATTGTTAAAACTCTTCACTGAACTATCAGTCATTTTCACAGAGGTAGATAAAGTGGAAAATGTCAGTAGACTAACTTGAATTATACTGATATTTTTTTATTTGCTTACTTTAAATAGGCAGTGTTCTGTATTATTTCTTTCTTTCTGTATGTGTGTGTGTGTGTGTGTGTGTGTGTGTGTGTGTGTGTGTGTGTGTGTGTGTGCCATGGTTATTGTGTAGGCATGGGTAATGAGATAGGTCACAGTTAAAAGTTGAGATCCTAGTTTTTCCATGCTGCCTCATATGCCCTGGCAGTTCACAGAGGTGGCAATTTTTCTTTTCATTTCTGAAGTAAGAAGATTTGCCTGTTTATTGATATATTAAATCTTGAGTTTTCCCCCTCTTAGAGATGGTACATATGACACAATCCCCCAGTCTGTTCTCTTCCCCTCCTGCATCTGTTTCCATACAGGTCTCTTGAGTTATGGGAGTTTCCTCATGGAAAGTATGTGTATATAAACTCAGTGATGATTGGCCACACATCATAGCTGGCACTGTATATACCAAGGTTATCATCTTCTTGTTAGTGGCATTTGAAATAAATTGAATTCATAAACACCTCACTTTATGTAGTCTACAGCATTGAACCTCTTCTCTATATGTAATCTGTACATTCCTCGCCTTGTTTTCCCCTTTCTGAATTGATCTCATATTGAATGTTGAAAAAAAGAAAACATCTGCACTAGCTCAAGAATATAATGGCCATATTGTATTGGCAAGCTAAAACATAGTCTTTATTTATCCAGAAAAAAAAAGAGATACAATTTTGTGAGAATTCCCTCCCTCCTTTTCTCCATGCTATGGGGCACCTGTCTCACGTTGGTTTACATTGGTCCTGACCCAACTAAATACAGCAGTCTATACAGTGTATTTCTCTGTTATGTCTGAGCTGGTTGCTTTAGGGAAGCCTGCCATTATATACACAGCAAGAGCTGGAGATATGTATACACACAGATCATTGAGTTTGTTTTAAAACAAAGGTGGATGTGAAATTAAAGCGGTGTTGAAATTGGACAGAACGAATGCCACCATCCTCCCACCAGTGTGGTCTGCCTCTGGTATTAAGTAGGTCCCATTGATGAGTTGATAGAGGATTTATTTTTAAATGACTGGGAATAAATTTACTTAAATATTTTGCATTATTGCATCTCAAAAAGTGTACTAGTTTCATTAAAAGATTTTGTGGCATTGTAAAGAAAGAAAAGTATACAAACATCTCAGCTTCTATAGTCAAGAATATATCTTTCCTCTTTACGAGTTCTGAACATTATTTAAAACCCCATTCTTTGAATCAGCGTTATAAAGAACTACTTATTACCATTTTCTAGATGTGATAGATTTTAAGACTGCAAATTATTATCCAAGACACTTAAAAGTAAAAGACTCTTAAGGTGTATTTGCTGAAATAAAGGAAAGCAGTTAAACTTAAAAGGTACACAAACACAAAGCAGATGCATACAAATTGAATTATGGAGCATTACAGTGTGTTTTATACTGTGGACTGTTTCTCTGTAGGGTGAGCCAGGACCTATAGGAAATGCAGGCTTTGATGGTGCCAGTGGACTACCTGTAAGTTGACTGCACTTCTTGACTCAGTGAAGAATCTTTTCATGAATGTAGTGAAGTTTATAACTAGATTCTGTTTTTTGTGTTGACATATTAAATAATTAATTCATATATTTGGTTTTCATGCATATATTGGGCTTAATTTAGGTAGTTAAATTTTCTATTTACTGATGAAAAATATATTATAATGAGCATGATTTTAACATGCTTCATGCTCTGAATTGTTTGTTTTATCTTAAACTAAAAGAGTGGCCATTGATTGGATTGTGTGATATTCCAGGGTGTTCCAGGAACTATTGGTATGAAGGGAGAGAAGGGTGTTCCGGGACCAGCTGGACCTAGGGTAAACATTGACTTGTGAAATATATACACAGTATACTTTGTGTTACATATTTCAGAACTCAATATCTACATTGTTATAAGAAAAACTAATATAAAATTAATTAAAATTTTAAATCTCATTATCTGCATGATGCTAATTGAAAATAATATCAATAATGCGGATGAATTTTGATGAAATGTGTTTTGATATGATATCTTATACAGTAAATATTATAGTTGTTTCTTTAGAAGCTGAATTAGGTATACTACTCAAATACTGCTTATGTTTATGAACAGGGTAAAGAAGGAGTGCCAGGATTAGCAGGACAGCCAGGATTCAAGGTTAGTATACCTCATTTTAATACAAAAATTAAAAAAAAAATGTATGTATACATCAAAGTTATGCAAATCTTTTTTCATTCATAATTATAAAACCTATATTTTTAAAATGATCCAATGTATTTTTACTGTTTTAATCCTTTGAACTAATTTTAATTGTCACTAGAAAGTTTAAAATATATGATTTTATCACTTTTCATAAGCAATTTATTTATTATTATCCCCAGGGTGACCGGGGAGAGGATGGGTTCCCAGGGCGTCCAGGCCAGCCAGGATTGAAGGGAGATACCGGCCCCAGTGGCCCACGTGGCTATAAAGGAAACCAAGGACCCCCAGGTCCCCCTGTAAGTATTGAAGGTCTCCGGGTCAGAAGTTTGAGAGAGCTGTCGTTTTGGCCAGAAAAAGTCAATTATTAATCCAAATTTGATCAAGGTTTCTCAAGTTGGCTCAATTGAGAGGATGAATGGCCCACTTAAAAAAACTTTTAAAACTGCTAGCTACAGACCTGTATTGTCCAAAGACTTGAATTGGCAGTAGTTACTGGTTAATGGATGAAAATCATTAAATAATTTAGAAAAGTTAAAAGAAAATAAAATAGTATGATATATTCTCACTCTTTCCTTGAATTTGTTTGTTTTTCATTGTTTTATGTTCCTATTTTTTCTCTGTAATGCATACACTTTTTTCCTCTTAGAATATTTGGAAGAAAAGTTAGTCATCTGAATAAAAGTCAAACAATTTGAGAATAGCCCTTGGAATAAAATTGACTCCAAAAAACCAACTCAATATGTAATATACACAGCAAGAAAACGTTGTGATTTCAGGGCGGTAAAGGTAACTATGGGCCCCCAGGTCCCCCAGGACCACAGGGCCCCAAGGGCCAACCAGGGCCTCCAGGTCTGCCAGGTCTGGAAGGAGTCCCGGGAAACATTGGTATGAAAGGGGAGAGTGGAGGGCCAGGTCTGCCCGGACCCCCAGGACCACAGGGATTTGATGGACCCAAGGGAGAAAAGGGAGATAGAGGGCCTGGAGGTAAGATGTTATTGTCTCGTCTATAGTCCTGTTTTTATATACTATTGTAGCATTTGACTATTTGAAACAGTCCTTGGTTATGTAGCTTTCAAATGTGGCACTGTGGAAGATCAAGTATGTGATGTCAAATTTGATCTCGAAATTTGACCTCTGCTATCACTCTTTACATCTAGATGGAAAAAAGGTGAAACAAAGTAAGGGAAGCATTATGAGAGATCAATCAAGGGTAGACTTACAGCAGGCAGGTTGTTACTCCAAACCACTCTCCGTCAGCATTGCCTGTTGATTTTTACCTCCTTGAAGAAAAAACTCAGAAATACTGTGTGTGTAAAAATAAGAATTTCTCCCTTTAACACTTATCTTATCTGAATTAATTAGTGTACCAGACCCTTGCACTTGACCATGCTCTCCCTTTCTCAGATGTCATGACCTTTCGTTTACCCCAAGTTGGAAAGAATTCTTTGAACTCAGATTTATGACATGGTCCAATACATCCATGTTTTATGATTGGTCATTTGGGTCCAGATTTCACCAGTCAAGACTATTAACATGGGGTTATGGCTTGTTAATGTCAAGTTTTTCTAAAACTGAAACACAGATGCTGGGAGAATATTTTATGGTGTGAAAAGTAAAACCTTCTTTTGGTTTTGGTTTGTTTTATTATTCATAAAAACTTAATGGCATTTTGGAGAACTGAACTATTTTAAACTAACTTATTGGAACATCATACCACCCAGAAGGTCAAGTTTTCATTTTCCTTTCTACTTGTATTGGAAGAATATGTACCTACAGTATTGATTACAATGATATTTTTTTCTCTCAAAAAGCTATATTAAATTATTTATTTGCTTCTTACATAAACAAAAAGCAGTATTTGAGGTAGCAAAGGCAATCAACAATCTTAACATAAAAAGTTGAATAAAAAGTTTTTATAGAAAGTCTCCATTTTTCTTTCTACCAGAAAATTCACATCTGTCGATTTTAACAACACATTTTTTTAAATGGTCTCACCATCTGACTGTCTTCCCCTCAGGTTTATCAGGTCGGGATGGTCTCCCTGGCACCCCAGGGCAGCCGGGATCCAAGGGAGAACCAGGGATGAAGGGAGAGCCAGGAGGGTCCATACGGGGACAACCAGGGCGGGATGGACTACCAGGACGCGAGGGACAGAAAGGTGACAAGGGAGAGAGGGGATTTAAAGGCAACCAAGGCCCCCCTGGTAACACACCTGAAGGGTTCAGGGGTCCCCAGGGTGACCGTGGTCAGAAAGGTCAGCCAGGAGATAGTGGACGCCCGGGTAGAGATGGACTGCCTGGAATACCTGGAGACAAAGGTGAGAGCTGCCAGAGAACAGCCTTCTCATTTTAGGTTCATAGAGTTAATTGTGAATTTTTTTCTTGCCAGGTGAAGTAAATTAGGTTGTTTGTGCAGATGGTAGCAGTGATTGTTGGATACCAAACTCCCATGATTTGTGTGTCTCCCATGATAAAGAGATAATACCTTGCTGCAGAGCAAATTGAAAATTGATTAAGTACCATGCTTATAATAGAGCAGTCCAAAAGAATTTGTTGATTGTATTGGAATCAGTATATTAAGATAGCCTACAAATTCATTAGCACACTGGTTATATGATATTATGTCAAATAACAGTCAAAATTTTATAAGACTTTTTATTTCAGTTTTTATTAATGTCATTGTGATTCGTCGTAAGTTTTCTCATATCATGTCTTACAAGTCAATGAAATAATTGAAAACATGGAACTAATTGAAAACCATTCCTTCCCCAGGTGAAAGAGGTGGGATATGTGTCCCAGGGTTCAAGGGTGAGAAGGGGGGCCCAGGGTTGGATGGTCTGCCAGGTCTACCAGGAGAGAGAGGACCTCAGGGAGACCCTGGGGTGGCTGGAGACAGAGGAGACGATGGTTCACCAGGCCTGCCTGGGTTACAGGGAAATCCAGTGAGTATGCTCTATTTTTGGCCTCTTTTTCAAAAGGATCTTGAACTGCCCCCCCCCCCCCCAAAAAAAAAAAAAATTAATAATAAGAGGAAAGGAAAGAAAAGGAAGATAGCAAAAACAAAAGCAAAACCTAAGGCACAGTGAGAAGTAGTCATGAAAGCAAACTGATGACCTGTTTGACAAAAAGAATAAAAATTTAAAGCATAAGGTGATTATTGTGGATTGTAATACAGTTTTGAAAGATGAAACCATCTCAAATGTTAAACGGTGAAATTTGTGTCAACTCATGCATGTTTTAAGTCTGTATCAAGTTGTGATCCCAAGAAGCGTCTCACACATTTGGACAATCCCCAGTGATATTTATGTTTTCAGGGAGCCCCAGGTTTGGATGGTCGACCAGGAGATGTTGGACCTAAAGGTGACTCTGCTGTAGCCATTACTGTCCCAGGCCCTCAAGGTAAATATGCACAAATGTATTTCTTCAGTTTTTTTTTCACTTTTAAATAGAAGATGGAATAGGGAATACCTTTTTCAAAAGTTGGTTGATAAAATGGAAGCTAAATATGACACAAGATCTTTCGCTCAACATGAAAACTTGATGCACATGTTTGCTGTGCGCGAGAGTGCGGCCGTGTGTATTTTACATGGACATTGCAGTCTGTTCCTTAACACCTAATACACACTTAAACTACCAACTGTATTTCACTCCTTTGACCAGGTCAGAAAGGCGAGCCAGGACCAGCAGGACCAGAGGGGCGTGTGGGTGCACCTGGTAACAGAGGGCAGCCAGGGGTACCTGGGAGAAATGGGCTACCTGGCATGAAGGGAGACCCCGTAAGTGTATTCAGCATAGTAGTTTACAGTGATTGCTTGCTATTTCAAACACTTACCTTAGTTATTTCAAGTGCATTTTCCTTTGAGATATATGATTATTGAAAGAGAAATATGTGCAATTACTGACTTATCTCACCTGCTTTACATAACTTCTTAATAACTAAAGGTGAAACACGCCTCTTTCCTATTATTTCTAGCCTTCCTGTTTTCTTTTTCATTCTGAACTTAAACCCTGCTCAATGGTGAATTCTTTGTCACCCACCCTAGGGTCCACCAGGTCCATTTGGCTTGGACGGTCGTCCAGGAGGACCAGGGGTGCCAGGCCAGCAGGGACCTAAGGGAGAACCAGGGTTCGGCCTCCCTGGCCAGAAGGGAGACAGTGGTAGAGACGGTGGTAAAGGAAACGCTGGGTTACCTGGACAGAAGGGAGCAAAGGGAGAAGCAGGTGAAGAAGTTATGATTGCATGCTTTAAGCTTAGATATAAGTGGAGTTGATTGATACCAGTGTGACATGCCCAGACTGTGCTGTGCTCAAACTGTAACTCTGTGAATGTTTTGTTCTGGTTATGAGTGAAGTGCCAGAAATTTATGTCAAAATTGGGTTCCGTTGCTCTTTTTTTAACAAGATTAGGACAAGAGTCACTTGTTCTAACTAGCGTATTTATTTAGGAACAACTTACGCAAACTTTCTTCTGTTAAAGAAATCAAAATATTTGATTTTCTTTCATTGAAATGTTTAACCATATGAATGTATGAAGAGCTTAGTTAAAGAATATATTATACAGTGGCATAACACACTAGGTCTTTATTCCTCATCTGTTAATACAGGTCCAGCTAATATAGTGACCAAGGGTGAGCGTGGATTCCCGGGTCTCCCCGGACCCCAGGGACCCAAGGGATTTGATGGACTGCCAGGACGCAATGGGGCACCAGGTAAAGATATATCCACTATTATATATCAAATCAATTTTAATTTAAAGTGTTGAAGTGGGAATGAGCAATGAGGAAAATCAAAACAAATGTAAATGATAAAGGCAGATCTCTGATGAAGAAACTCCAGGTAGACATCAAAATATATGAGGTTAACAAGAAGTTGATACTATATGCTGATTGAAAAAAAAATAAAAACACAGAATGTACTACTTCAAACCAATGTTCTGTTTGCATTACTCGTATCTGACACAGTGCTGTCTGACCTCCATACTACAATGTACCTCATTTCCAGGTGAGAAGGGCCAGCCAGGACTTGATGGGCAGCCAGGACCCAAGGGTAACGCTGGGCTGCCAGGTCTGCCAGGAGATCCAGGACCCAGAGGTAATGGAACAGGGGGAAGAAGGGAGATAAATTTGGCAGAGATGTTAACTCTAGAAAGCTGTACAATATTTTGTAATATGATAAATTGTGGAAAAGCTTTTGGTACTTCTTTCAGAATACTGTTCTGCAATCTTTAACTGTTGATATCTTAATATGATATATTATATGCTGTATATAGGATTAACTGGACAGCGTGGAGAGAAAGGAGATTCAGGACTTCCAGGACTACCAGGATCAGCAGGCCAGAAAGGAGATCGAGGATTCACAGGACTCACCGGGCCAAAAGGTAACACTTGACTGAACCCATTTCTTTTGCCTCTCGTTTTGACAGACTATCCTGCAATGGATTTTGCTCTGGAATTATGACAATTATTCAAAAAATCTTCAGGAAAATGCTTTCGTGTTTTAAACTGGTATTTCAGAACTTATCCTTACAATTTAAATTCTGCAATCATGAAACAAATTTTATTCAGCATAAGTATTTTTACTTTTTGTCTTGGATCAAACAATTTATTTTGTCAAGAATTCAGGTGTAATTATGAAAGAGAGAAGACATGCTAACTGCATTTGTGTGTGTCTGTAGGTGAGCAGGGTCCTGCTGGTCCAGTCAGCCAGTGTATTAAGGGAGAGCCTGGTCTGCCAGGACAGCCAGGAGGTCCAGGTGATCAGGGCTTAATGGGATTCCCAGGGATGGATGGTAAGTAGTTCAACTGGTGTTATGCCATTGACTGTACATGTTTCTATCTTCATAGTTTGTTTCAGTTGCCACTTAATTTACGGGATTCCCTTCCCAGGGATGGATGGTAAATTAAGAAGTTCATTGAATGTAGTAGTCAATGTATTACCACATACTGTTTCAATATTCATAGTCTGTGTCATTTGCTAATTTATGGATGGATCTTCTTCTTGTGAATGCCTTAATAAATATTTTTCATGTACTTTTATTTCTTAATACTGTATTCAGGATACTGTGTAATTTCTGTGCTGCTGTGACAAATAAATACATTTTCTATGGAAATTCAATATTCCATAACCACTATTCCAGGTCAGCCAGGTTTGCCAGGTGCCCCGGGTCCTAAAGGAGACCGTGGTATAGATGGCCTGCCAGGCGATTCTCTGGCCGGGGTGAAGGGTGAACCGGGTCGTCCAGGAGAACCAGGACTCAGAGGACAGCCTGGGGCTAATGGACTGGATGGACTGCCAGGTATTTATACATGTGTACTCTAACAGAAATGTTCCATAGGGTCCTAAAGGACATGTTTCCTACAGGATGCCCTGTAGGATGTCAGATAGGATTTCTATAGAGTCCTAGGGAGTCCTAAAGTACTTCCTATTAGAAATGTTTTTAAAGGAAGATAAATATTTTATTTATTTATGTGAGCAGAGGGTGTAAAAATGTACAATTGTTATTATACTTTATATGCAATGAAATAAACAATATCTTATATTGCCACTTTTCACTCTTGAAGCCAATGACTGTTACCTTGTAACTCAAAATATGTGCATACTCAGTAGTGGTAGTTTATGTCATAGCAAGTGGAATTTACTTTCCTAAAAATGAGCATTTAGTTTGGCTCAATTGAACATAAATGTTTATTAAAGTAAAATCTGTGTTTTATATTTAATTGGTGAGTGGTCCTGTTCTGTTGTGAAAAGGTATCGATGTTCTTATAAAGTGCATTAGGATATTGTTGATAAAGTCGCCCTCAGTTTCAAGCCTAACATAATGGCTAACAATCAACAGTTTAGTATTATAATAGTTTAAACTTTCTAATAATTATTGTATGCTCTTTCAACTTTAGGTGCTGCTGGACCAAAAGGTGAGGCCGGTCTTCCTGGTCTACCAGGTCAACCCGGCCGAGATGGACCTAAAGGGGACGTTGGACCTCCAGGACTCCCTGGTCTGCCGGGACTGGAGGGTCCAGCTGGACAACCTGGCAGACCTGGGGCAGACGGACTACCTGGAGGACCAGGTGAGACAGGAAGGCAGGAGGGAATGAATGAGAGAATGAGTGAATAAAGGAATGAATGAATGAATAAATTAGACAATGAGTGAATAAAGGAATAAATGAATAAATGTGTGAATAAATGTGAGAATGAATAAATGAATGAATAAATGTGTGAATAATTGAAAGAATGATTGAGAGAATGAATGGATGAAATGTGCAAATAAATGAATGAATAAGAGAATGAGTGGGAGAATTAAAGAATGTGTGAATAATTGAGAGAATGGATAGATTTATAAATGAATAAATAAAATAGATGTGATAACTATGTGCATTATCTTCTACTAGGTCCCAAAGGTGCTATGGGCATGTTAGGATTCCCAGGAGCTGACGGCCCCCCTGGACCTCCAGGACCCTCAGGACTACCAGGAATGAAGGGAGCCGTAGGAGGACCAGGGTTGCCAGGGTTACCAGGCCTGGACGGACCTAGAGGTATGACACACAGAGCTACCTTCACCTGTATTTGATTACTGTTCACCTGTATGAAGTGGGAAATATCACTGTACATATCTTTTTGACTAGAAGGGGATTACGTATAAACATTGGAACAGAAGTGAGCAAATATCCAATAATTAATATAGAAATCAATAAACACTTTAAAAAGCATGAGGACATCTCTCTTTTTAGGACCAAAAGGTGGCCCTGGTTTTGACGGCAACCCTGGGGCCAAGGGTCAGCCTGGACAACCAGGATTTCCAGGTTCAAAAGGAGATGCAGGGTTACCTGGACAACCAGGTCTCCCAGGAGACAGGGGCAACCCAGGTATGTACTCCGATTAGTTATTTCTGTGGCAACCAGTGTTAGAAATTAAGGCTGGACCGTCTGCCTTGGGCAGACAACTTTCAGAACGGGCTGAGAAGTTTTCCCATTTTTTCCCATTCTGTCCAGCTACTTGTCAGGATGGCTGGACCTTTGGTCCAGCAACTAATTTTCCTAAGAGGCAAACACTGGTGGCAACAGTTACTTCAAGATGGCTGTCACATTGACAAGAAGCCATATAATCCCAGTGCTGGTCTTTTTGAGTTTTTGAGATACATGACTTTGTAATGGTACAAACAGATATTTGACCATGCTTGGATATTTGTAGGACATTTTGCTGAGTAGGAGATCACACTGATTGTTATAAATCATTGTCAAAATGTTAGTTCAAGCTCTAGAAACATTTTGTACCGAATAATACTTACAAATTAACGTTTAATTTGCAATAATTGTTTTATCAACACATGTAGAACAGATTGTCACCTACTTAGACACTCAGTGCATCAGAATATGTATAGTTTATAAGAATTTTTCACTGGATGGTCATTGTTATACCCCCAGGTCTGCCAGGTGTCCCAGGACCAAAGGGCAATGCAGGAGAGCCAGGTATTGGTCTACCTGGACAGAGAGGTTTACCTGGTGATCCTGGTTTGGATGGTTTACCTGGACAGAATGGTCCACCTGGCCCTAAAGGTGGAGATGGTCTACCAGGCTTCCCTGGCATGAAGGGAGACAGGGTAAGTAAGGAGGTCTTCGGCCCTTCTTGTATCACATGGGGTTCCTTTGTGCTTCACATCACTTTGGTAGTTGACAACTTTAAAATAGCCTGGCTATTATGTACTGTAGTCATCTAAATGGAATTACGATCAAGATGAGTTTTGATCAGTAATGACAGTCTGAAGTGAACTTATGAAAGGGAGTAAAGCAGAAAAATGAGGAGCATTTGGTGAAAAGAGCCATTTATATTCATTAGTCAAGAAGAGTTCTCAAGTCTGGTATTTCAAATAATGAAGTTGTGATAGTAAATTCTAACAATTTCTCAACTTTTATATTGTATCATACTGTTTGTCAATTTACATCAAATTTTTATATCATATTTTGACGTTCTCAAGTGAAATGTCTGCACTGTTTTTCTGTCCTTCCAGGGCTTAAATGGACTCCCAGGCAGCCCTGGACAACCTGGGGCTGATGGACTGCCAGGAATGAAAGGTGAGCAGATAAACTATAGTTATAAATGTAATGAATGAATCCACGTAGAAATCAAATGAAGAAACATTTCTCCTATCGCTATGATTGAAGATGTGTGCAAGTCTGCTTATGGGTTGCACATATGGCTGCTAGAAAAATCAAGGGAATGATCGATCAGGGTTTTAATGTTGTCTTACGTTTGCCGACATGGGGGTGCTAGTGCTCCCTTAACATCTGAAATAACCTCTTCAAATGCTACACTGCAGATGTTGTTGTAAAAAAATGTACAAATAAGCTTTAACTCACAAAATTGCTTGTTTTTCTACAAGCTGGATTTTTAGATAGAAAATTTTCATATTACACTCATTTGTTAGCTAACCAAGCCTTGTAAAGACTAAAGATCATAGATGCCTAGAGTTTTTTGCATGGTGTAGGTTTTTACAATGATTAAAACCATTGGTCAATTTTTAGGTGACCGTGGTCAGTCAGGCCTGCCAGGTCCCCCAGGACAGAAAGGTGAGGTGGGACCAGCGGGGCCCTCAGGTTTCCCTGGAGCCAAGGGTAATGCGGGACAACCAGGACAACCTGGCCTAGAGGGAGCTCAGGGACCACCGGGAGAGGACGGACTGCCTGGACAACCCGGACAACCAGGTAAAAACCCAAGTTACAGGGAAATAAAGTTGATTCACTAAGTTCTTGAGTAAACTTATCATATAAATGTGTCATCTTTCTTGCAATTTTGTTGATGTTTTCTCTTAAGTGTCAAACTTGAGTTTCATACATAATGCATATTAATAAATGCGCTCTTTTCAAACAAGCTATTTGCCACAAACATGGTGATATATTGCAAGAACTGCACAATAATTAATTACTGCAAGCTTGTATTTAGTGCAGGAATGGGGTAACACACTACTTGCATGTATAAAATTGAATTATTGAGTGAAAGCTACATTTCCTACACAGGTCGAGACGGTCCCAAAGGTGACCGTGGCTTACCTGGCCTAGAGGGTAGACCAGGTACCCCAGGGGCCAAGGGAGACTCTGGACTGCCAGGGCTACCTGGTAACCCAGGTAAGTGGAGTGTGTAATGTGGGTATGTGTTTGTGTGTGTGGGGGGGGGGAGGGGAAGGGTGTTATCATTACTACTCCTAATTATGCACAACAAAACGGATGATAAATTTCACTCACGAAACAGCTGATGGTTTTCACTGATCCTCTTGTGTAGAATATCATTCTGGAATGTTTTGTTGAGTCATAAATCAATTTAACAGTATGGCTATGCCTTTAATGCCTGCACACTTTGCAATAGACTCTACCTGTAATATTCAACCAAAATTTAATAGCAAAAGGAGGATGATTAGATTAAGATTAGATTAGATTGTAATATTTACAGTGGAGAATAGATCACATTGTTTTCTCAGTGTCTGATTCATGGATTGTTATGTATTTGTTACCAGGTGCCAAGGGAGAGTCTGGATTCCCAGGATTGAATGGAAGGCCTGGACCTAAGGGAGAGAAAGGCTTCACAGGACAGAGGGGACTTCCGGGACAACCTGGTGATCCTGGGCGGGACTCTGTGGGACTGAAAGGTTTGTCTTCTGCTTAGAATGAGACTAGCAAATCACTTCAAACTGTACACTATTGCACATATATTGGTCATCCAGTAATCTAACTTCTAACTCCATTTTCCATTAAGATTTTTTCTGTTTAGACGTGTACTTTCTATACATACCTTGCTTCTTATTAATAGACCCATACTTCATTATAAGATGTATACTCCCTGTAGAGAACTCACTTCCTATTAAGACCTATTCTTCCTGTATTAAAACCTATGCTTCCCTATTAAGATCTTATATTTTCTGTATTAAAACCTATACTCCCTATAAAAACCTTGCATTATGTTCTAGGTGAGGCAGGCCTTCCAGGTCTCCCAGGACTGGATGGTCCATCAGGTCCCAAGGGAGAGGCGGGACGCCCAGGTCTGGATGGCCTCCCAGGGATGAAAGGGACCCCAGGGAGGGATGGACTGCCAGGACCTCAAGGGGAGAAGGGAGAGCCTGGGCTGAGAGGCAGTGATGGTCTGCCGGGACAGCCGGGACTGGAGGGACCCCCAGGTCTGACTGGGTTACCAGGACCTAAGGGAGAGGCCGGCAACCCGGGACTGCCAGGTTTTGATGGTCTGCCAGGACAACCAGGTCCACAGGGACTGCCAGGTGAGTGGTTCAAATAGTTAACTGGCGCTGTTACAGTAACAGTACGTAGGACCAGGACTCTTTTGGCCCTAGATAGTGGCCCAAAGCTGGCATTCTTGCTTAGGGAGAGAGGAGCATGTCTGTTATGAAAAGTCACCAAATAAAATTTTAGGAGACCTTTGGTCTAAAATAATCTGCATTACTGTGATCTGCATTGTATTTGTTATCAACTGACGAGACATCAGTGTACTTGCAAGTCTTTTGTTTCTTTATCAATTTGCTTATTAATCACCAAAAAATAAGCGTAGGTGTTAACCATGTTGTACAAGTACATATATTTAAATGTCCAGTATGAGATGATGTACTAATTTGTGTACTGTGTATTTATCACCACAGGAAGAGATGGTCAGCCAGGTGCAAAGGGAGAAAGTGGTCAACCTGGAGGGAATGGTTTACCTGGATTACCTGGGATGCCAGGACCCAAGGGTGATATTGGCCCAGGAGGAAGAAATGGACTTCCTGGATTACCAGGTAATATAGCCTTTGCCATTATCTGTTGGCTGCTGGACCTTATGAAATGTTGATTTGCAGTGCTTGATAAAGTATGTTAATTATAAAGATCAGATTGTTGTTGGTGATTGACCCTGAGCAAGCGTTTTGATGTTTGTGGAACATATACATCGTTCAGCCTTCTTAAAGAGACTTGGTATATTTTCTGCACTAAGACCCCATTCCCATAGATTTTAGATCGATCTATCCCTGTGGGGAGTCTCACTAGATTACTGTCAGCTTGATGGGCTTAAGTGTCTGTCCCACTTACTAAAAGCTGTAAGGGGGTAATTAACTATGGTGCGCGCTTGGCTGACTGCAATTTAGCGTGAACCCCCAGGGAGTTAGGTCGATCTAAATCTAAATCCCTAAATCGATCTAAATCTCTGGGAATACACCCTAAGACAATTAGTATTCCATACATAAATATGAATTTTATGAATAATTTCCACATTATATATGTGCTTTCCTCATGCAGTGATCAGTATCACAGTGAAATGATAAATGTGTTATAACCTAGAGCCAGTATAGCCATGACACACATGGTCTGTTCTATGCTTCCAGGTGCCCAGGGACCCCCAGGTTTCAAGGGAGAGCCGGGTCAGGCAGGACCACAGCCTCTGAGGGGAGACAAGGGAGAGCCAGGTCAGAGAGGGCTGGATGGTCTCCCTGGAATGAAGGGAGAGAGGGGACCAAGTGGTCTACCTGGACTACCAGGTAAGTTGTTTGGATATGGTGTCATCATAAATGAATATTTTGAAAATGTTTTCTGGAAGAAACTGACAGTAGATTAATATTTAGTTGTTTCTTTAGTTCTACTGGGAAGGAACTTTTCATTTCTAATTACTATTTCATTAGTTACAGTAGATTAACATTAAATATCTCTCTCTTCTGTTTATAGGTCCCAAGGGCGCATTTGGTTTGACAGGAGACAGAGGCTTGCCAGGACTCCCAGGAGCAGAAGGACGTCCAGGAGAAAGAGGACTACCAGGTTCTCCGGGTCTACCAGGATTGCCAGGTAGGATAGAAAATATCTGATCTCCACATACTGAAGAAAATCACCAGCTTAATATGATCTTAAAGAATTTTTAGATAGATCATTTAAATGCAGTTTCTGGCTTGATGAAATCTCTGGTTTTGGTCTGTACTGTTCTGTTTGTAGTCATAATCATAAATTGTCAAGTTGAGATGGGTAGTACAGAGGTAGAGCTACCCAAATTAAATGTAAATTAAGGTGACTTGTGGCACAGAGATAGAGACTTAATTTGGACAGCACAGCTACTTTCTTGTTTAAAATACTCAATTGCCAATTTATCCAGAAATGTTGTGGTAAAGGGATTTGTTCATAATGTATCATGTCCCACGTCTTTGTTCCTAGGTGACATTGGTCCCCCAGGACCTAAAGGAGATTTGGGCCCCCCTGGACAAACCCTGCCCACTGGCTATCTCCTGGTCAAGCACAGCCAGAGCACTAACATCCCCAAGTGCCCCTTTGGCAACACCCAGTTGTGGGAGGGGTACAGTTTACTATATATTGAAGGCAATGAGAGGGCCCACAACCAGGATTTAGGTTTGTTTGTTTGTTTGTTTGTTTGTTTGCTTGTTTGTTTGTTTTGACACTTAACTTTGACATACAGTTAGGTTCTGAAAAATGAATTGATTTCTGACTGCCTTGCACGTACTTTGTTATTTAAGGTAAGATAAAGTAAGGTGTATTCGTGCAACAGCCAAGTATTTAATGTTGTGAACTGAGGACAAACAAGAAAAACAGTGTCCAATTTACTTCTGGTAGTATCAGAGGCTGAAATGCAAGGTGAAAATGTCCTGTTCTTTGATTATTTGATAAATTATATTTTCCACTCGTAAGTTTTCCTAGTTCATCTTCCATTCTCCTCTACCCATGTAGCATGTTAACCCCACATGATTAACCATCATTTTGCATTCATATCAGTATCAGTGCACAATGAATATTTCACACACTGAACTTTCCCACTTCCAGGTTTCGCAGGCTCTTGTCTGCAGAGATTCAGCACTATGCCCTTCCTGTTCTGTAACATCAACAACGTGTGCAATTACGCCAGCAGAAACGACAAGTCCTACTGGCTGTCCACCAACGCCCCCATCCCCATGATGCCTGTGATGGAGGATGACATCAGGCCCTACATCAGCAGGTGTGTTGTATGTGATGCACCCACCAATGTGATAGCTGTCCACAGCCAGGATTTGAACGTGCCAAGGTGCCCTCAGGGATGGAGCGAACTTTGGATTGGGTATAGCTTTGCAATGGTAGGTGGAATGATGTAGTAGCTAGCAGGTGCAGTAGAGTTTGTCGAAATTTAATTGTCTTACTTAAATGGTTTTTGTTTAAATGATAATCATATCATAGAAATTAATTTTAATTTTATATTTTGATTAATATAAAAACATAACCATCAGGTCCTTGTTTCATCAATGCTGGAAAGCGCTTTATGAGGTGAAGCACTATCTGCTAAATAAAATTGTCATCTTCTGCCAAGCTGCCCTGAGGATAACAGTCATTTTAACCGTTGAATAGCAATATCAGAGACAAAAAAGTATCCAGCATTTGAGAAACATCTCTTTACTCCCACTCGAGAACTGTCCAAGAGTAAATAAATTATCATTTGGATATTGGTATCCAGTATAGATAAAGCTGGGCCCAGATCTTAAACTGTCATGTCGTCAAACCTTTGACCTTTAACCTTTGTCCTTTTCCAGCACACGGCAGCAGGAGCAGAAGGTGGCGGCCAGAGTCTGATCAGTCCCGGCAGCTGTCTCGAGGACTTCCGTGCAACACCCTTCATCGAGTGTAACGGTGCAAGAGGCACTTGTCATTATTTCGCTAACAAATTCAGTTTCTGGCTGACAACTATAGATACTCAGTCTCAGTTCTCTGATCCACAACCGCAAACTCTCAAAGCTGGCAATTTACGAAGCCGGGTCAGCCGATGCGCAGTCTGTCAGAGGAATCCATAGGGATAACAACATTCACCTACTTCTGCATTTATATATTTTCAAGTTTTTGAAGTCCTTTTTTTTCTAATAACGTAAGGATATTAGAAACTGGTTTAAGAATAGGCAGAACTACTCATTTTGTACAATGGATTTTTCAAAAGCATATGATAGTGTATTTTCTAATAGATTTAACCACATGTAGCATTTGTAGAATTTAGTATTATAGAATATACCCCATATACAGGTTCAGTGTATTTTATACATAAGGCTTCATGTAGAAATAAAATATTACTGTTTTCATGTTTTAAAGCCAGTTTAGATAATAAACTTAAGGTGCTGTGTTATATTCAAGCATATTGCTCAAGTTCAAACTTCTTAAACTGTCAAACTCTGTGAAAATCCCTCCAACTGATTGGGAGCAGAGTTACACACATGAGGTCCCCATTATCTTACAATATTAGGATCAAGTGTTCAAGATATAATGTATTTAAATCCTGGAGTTGTTTTGTTTTGTTTAACTTAACAAAGCCGGGCTACGCTTCCACACAAACTTACCCAAGCAGTATTCTTACTCTGCAGTCAGTCAGTTGACACTTTATCACTGCCCAGATCACAGCTAAAGTCAAGGTGAAGGTCAGGTGAAGTTGGAAGTTGTTTTTTTTTTTATTTCCAAGATTTGGAAAAAAATGTTAATGAAACTGCTTGGCACTTGTGATACCTCAGGAATTTTAATGTTATTGAAGCTGATTGCGTTTTTTCTGGAGGTTTATCTACAAAGCAAAAGCAAGAGCATGACCTTCATATTTGACCTTGACCTATGACCTTGCCTGTGACAGGTCGTTCAAGGTCACCTTGCACCATCCAACTTTGTATATAAATGTTGTTAATCACTTAATTCTCATAATGAAGACGTTCACACAGCAGCTGCCTTTCCCAGATTGCTTTCTTTGTAATATGAATGTATATTTTATATTTAACTCACTTTTGCATGATGATGTATAGTTATTTTAGGGAATACATAATGAAGTGCTTGAATGAAATGCAGTCATATTTACATTACTCTTATACATTTTCTAGTCATACCAAAAATTTATGGGTGCCTTTTTTCTTTTTGCAATTAAGTTTTTGTTAAAAGGTAAAAATTATGAAAGAATATTATCCAAGTACTGTTATAATGATGTGATGATTATTATGTGGTTTTAGGTTGTATATAAAACGTGTTTAGCAAAATGCTTGTTTATATTCGTGATAGATGTAACAAGGCAAAATTGTTCATATGAATCTAATACAATGACAATCACTAGTATAACACAGATATCCATGCCCCAATGGGATACTTCTATGATTACTTTTTTTCTTAACATTTTTTCAGATGATAGAAGGTCTAGCCAATATGTAAAGCACTACTGTTGGTTTTTAAGTTAATATAACCTCATGGCATAAAAAAACTGAAGATATAAATTAAGTAAATTGTGTGAATTCACAATGAAAATTTGTTTGGGAAAAAGATTATAAAAATTGTTTTAAGTGAATAGATTCCAGAAAAATTGGAAAAACATACTTATATTAAACCACATTAGTTAGCACTTCTCAGTAATGATAATAACTATGCAATATTTGTAACAAGAGAACTATTTTATCTTGTTAGATATGTGGTAAATTTTCCAACAGCCTATCACTGCCATTTGTTGGACACTAAGAATACTGAAGGTGGGGCTAATGCCAAGATGAGACATATCTGTGTTGAAGCACATTTGTAGAATCCTGATGAAGCTACAATAAATGTTGACTTTCACACAGACATTCATCAGTGTTTGTTAAAATTCATTTGGACTCTGTGCATGAGTGAGTTCATTATAATTTCATTTTATTTTTATTTTATTGATTATATTATTATTTTAATGGATATACCTTGTGCATATATATATATATATATATATATATATATATATATATATATATATATATATATACATGTATAATATATATATGAGTTCAGCAAATATGGTGGCTGTTAATGCTGACATGTTCGCAGCACTGATTACGAGTTTGTTTGAGGCCTTGTGTAAGCTGAGGAAAGGTCCCCCCATCCCCTTAAAAAAAGGATTTAAAACTTATTTGATCTTTCTCAACAAATAAGGGGCAACAGTAATGGCCGTGTCCTTGCTGTGGAGGCAGGATTCATGGCTTCCATAGCCTCTACGAATTTGTCAAGCAGAAACTTATGACAGTGTGGATGGCATTGCAAAGTTCCCATGGAAATTTCACGTGGATTAAAAATTTTTGACAACTGTATTTGAATGTTAAGAAAAAAAATGAGCATCAAGATAAAATAGGTGATTAATGGATATAATTTTAATGAGAAAATAATTGTTTTTACTTTAAAACATAACTAGTCATTATTTTTATACTTCATAAAAAGTGCACAAGACCAACAGATACTCCCAGCAAGGGCCTTGACATGGACATCTTTAAATTTCCTGATGGCTTATTTTTGATTAAATAGGTTGTAGAAGTATGGGCTGTTTAAAAAAATGAATGATACTGCCATTTAAAGGTGCTTCATCATTTTCATCATTTTGTTGATCTGCAACCGGCTCAATATATCCCACTAGGGGCCATTCAAGGCAAAGTTTTTTTTTTTCCTCATGGTTTTCTCCCTCTTTGAGACATATCAATATTACATGTTCTAATATGACGTTTCAAGTTTATGTAATCCATGTTATTAAAATTGTGGGAGGGGATTGACCAAATAATTGTAATTTATTTATTTATTTGTCTATTTTGTTTGTTCACTGTCTGTGTTGATTTGTTCATTTGGACGGTAATGTGAGATCATGTCAACTCGGGTGTAGACTATCTTGCAATGAAGACTCTTCAACCGAGGAGACCGGAAAGATCCGGAAGAGGTGGATTTCAGAAACAAAACGAGAACCTAATATTTTTTTCTGTGTTACCACTTACTGCATGTAACCAAAGATGCAGAATGTGATAAATGCTGTCAAGGGAAGTGCGTTAGGCGTAGCAGAGTATTTTACACCTGTACTCAAGGTAAGTTTGGTCATCAGGACGTCTTTATTGATGGCGACAATTTGAGCTGCTGTCGGCATAACCAGAAGTTCTAGCTTCTGTGTGTGTGATAGTGAGTCATCACTGTGGACGATGATAGCACTGGCGAGAACATTGCACCTGTTGCTGAATATTGAATGAAAGCTCTTCTTGTTACATTTGTTGCATATAGTAGTAGATGTTCATACTACCTGTCTACAGTGTATGTATCGGTAGTATGCTTCCCTAAGCAAAAGGCCCCATTCCCATAGACATCATCGGTCCACGTGGATAGACCTTACTCTGTGGGGACTCTTGCTGACAGCAGTCAACTTAACTGAATGCCACACTTCTTCCTGGCATTGAGTAGAATACAGAAAAGGGGGTTTTAATACTAGTGTATTGGAAACAAAAAGAGGTGTGTCATCAAGTAAAAGTGATTGCACTTTGTGAGAATCCCCGCAGAGTTGGGTGGATGGTGTCTTTGGGAATGGGATCACAGTCTTCCTGTTACATGTATATTGTTTATTGAACAAGTGTAATGCGGTTTTTTCTTTTCCCTTGCATATGTTTGAATTTGGAATTAAATATTACTTGTGTGTAGTGCATTTTTGGGAGAGTGTATAAGTCACCTGCCAGACCAGGGATCGAACCCGGGATCTCTCGCTAACAGGGCGAGTGCTCTGCCACTTGAGCTATCCGGCTGGTTCTAACCTGCGTCTGGCACTACATATGTCATGCCAAAATAGGTGCATGCCAGATGTGTATTTTACAGACAAGTGTCAAATAAAATGAAATTTTGCACAAGATTATTTTCAAAGGGAATGAAGAAAAAGCAAATTTGAAATATGTGATGGCAAAGTAGGTTTAATTTCTTTTCAGTGTGAAACAGGCTGCATAAAATTTCTGACAGTAACACTAAAATTATCCCATGCAGCACCATTGTTTTTACAACCCCCATTGTGGTTATTCATAGATGCATTTCTATTATTTAAATCAGACATAGATGCATTTTGGCATGACAAATGTACCCAGAGATCATATACATCTTGAAGCTAATGAAAAAAAATAGTAATGTATCAATTTCAAAGCAGTGATTTTGCTCAATATCTATTATGGAGGTTCTGATTTACTATCAAAATACAGTTCTGGCATTAAACGACGTGTCATCTTCACATTTTATTTTCAGGAGTCAAAATTCAAGGAGACTGGAGTGATTACACCAGAAGAGGTGGGTGTGCCCCTAGACCGGTCACATGGTGCAGGCTGGACCAAAGTTTTTTGGGGGTCTACTGGTCCTTCATACACCAATATCTTTAAAAAAATACTGGCCCAAAACATTGTTCAGTAACTGAACAAAAAGAAAGTTACTGGCTTGGCTTCAGTTTCTCTTGCATTTTGCATGTAGAAAGTGAAAATATGGCAGACTGATGATAGTTTTAGAATAGGTCAACTATTTGAATAAGTTAAACAGAGATTACAGCTTCTGTTATTTGTCTGCTTTTTTAATTAAACACATTGGAAACTAAAATACATAAAGACATAATTATTGTCAGTCTATCAGAATTCCACTTAGTGATGCTGCATTTCCATGTTGTTGAAAAGATTTAAAAGGGAATATAAATCAATAACTGATATTTCTAGAGATTGTATTCTTCTTGCATCCTCATCTTTTCTTAAAGTGGGCTGTGTTTATATCTCAAATGCTTGTTGCATCTTACATCTTGTTTTAAGCTTTTTTTAATTAATGAAACCATTTCCTCAAACTGAAGATAAAGTGAAAAAATGTATATATCTGGCATATATTTAAGTTATTGATTCCTCATACTTAAGGGTTATAACATATATAAAAAAAATGTTCATGTTCTATTTTAATTTGTTATTTTTCCATTGTTTATTTATTTATTTATTCTTCTCCCTCTTTTTCTTCTTATTGTTATTTTCATCATCACAAACTCTTGGTGTTGGTTTTATTCCAGTTTGTAGCTGCAGGAGATCACATTGTTCACCATTGTCCTACATGGCAGTGGGCATCAGGAGACGAGTCCAAGATAAAACCATATCTACCCAGGGAGAAACAGTTTCTCATAACTAAAAATGGTAAAACTAGAAAATAGCTTCAGTTATGCAAATTTGATCACAAAAGGACCTTTCTGTCCTATCTAATGCTAAAACTGAAAATTACTCTGACCTTGTGAATGTAAATTCTGTAAATTATTATTTTCTTTTATTATTTTTGTGAGCACCGTATATCAGAGATAACCAATCTGCAGATTGCAGATGACATTTAATCAATATTGTAAAGTAAGTATGACTTATAAATGCTGTTACTTCCAGTGCCATGTTACCGCCGTGTGAAGCAGATGGACACTCACCAAGAGGAGCACGAGCTGGTGATAGAGACCCAGGATGGAGACGGGGGCTGGGTGGACACTCACCACTTTGCTGGTAGGTTAATATGGCATTGTGTTAGTTGAGATATCGTCTTGATTTCCTCACCACTTTATAAGTGGGCAAATATTTCATTGTGTTAGTTGAGATATTGTCTTGATTTCCCCACCACTTCATAAGTGGGCAAATATTTCATTGTGTTAGTAGAGATATTGACACAATCACTTCATCACTTTGCAGGTGGGATTATGTTTGAATGTATTATTTGAGACATAATCACAACTAGCCAATTTTCAAGGCCGCAGAGATCCTTAAAAAATCGGACTTTGGTAGTTGGATGAAATTGTAGCTTTTAGATTTTGTGCACTTGATTGTCATGAAGGTGTACTTGTGTGCGGGGGAGCATAACATCCCTGTTTTTCGTAGAGTTATTTTGTAAAGTCATCTCCTGTTTTAAAAATGAAATCTCTTCATTTCTAGACACATCAGTTGGGCAGGTCCAAGATGCAGTAGCTGAGATGACTTTAGATTCTAAGGTTAGTAATGGACCTAAAGAAGTAGATGCAACCTATGAACAGTTTTTTGCTCACATATTTCAGACACATAACTTTTTTCATATTTTTCTCTCTCTCAAAATATGTTAAAACTGACCAGAACTCTTTCAAGCATGTGAACTTCATTCTTATAATGTTTTGTATGTTTCCCAAAGGGTGGCGCTAGTGCTACAGCATCAAGTGGAGCCCAACAAGGGGGAGGTGATGATGATGAGGATGACGGTGATGATGAAGAGGCAGAAGACATGGAGGCATTTGAAGAGTCTGGGATGCTGGAGGCTGAAGATACTGTAAGAAACTGACAAACAGACAGACAGGCAAAAAGACAGACAGATAGATCTACAAACAAACAGATGAAATAAGGACAGAGCCAGACAAAGAAAACTGGCAGTTTGTTTGAAAGACAGACATACAGATGGACAGTCAGGCAAAATTCTGCCTGATCTCCCTCAAATGTTCACTTTTTTAAAAAAAATCTTGTGTCTTATACTTCCCTTACAGAAAAACTAATCAGATATTGATTGTGCTTAAGCTAAAAAAACAAACAAACAAACAAATAAATAAACAAGTAAATAAAATTGAAAATGACAGAGATGTAGCACTTTATCTTGGTTTTTGTAAACGTTTTTGATTTTCATTCCTTGTATTTATTTATGCCAACTATTAAGTCCATCTCTCCCCTTGTTAAGGCTTGTGTTTATTTTCTTTCTCTGCAGGCCACCTTAGACCCAGCCACTGTCCAACAGGAAACTGAGGCTGCGTCAGCAGGTGCTGGAGAGAGCGGAATTTTACAGACTAGAACTTACGACTTAAACATCACATATGATAAATATTACCAGACGCCTCGGCTTTGGTTGTATGGTTATGATGAGGTATGTCTATGTAAAATATGAAATAGCGCTTTGCTTTGCTTCCACCATTCGACTACCAGAAGGACTGTCAAACATCGGTTTAATATGAAGTTACGGTATTAATTTTCTCTTTCTTCATACTTTAAGTATGGTGGTTATTTTTTGGGGGAATAAAATTTGACACTTCTATAAATTGTGTATGTCAAAAAAATGTTACATTAACTTCAATCAGCGTCAGATTTCTGTTTTAAAAGAGGGAAGTACAATAACATTCCAATGTTTTAGACAAGCACCAAAAGTTTTTTTTTCTCTAAATTAACTAAAATCTTTATTGATAATTTGCCTCTTTAATAACTCTAGAACCGTAAGCCCCTCACAGTGGATCAGATGTACGAGGACTTCAGCCAGGATCATGCCAAAAAAACTGTTACCATGGAGACACATCCTCACCTGCCTGGACCACCAATGGCATCAGTGCATCCCTGCAGGTATGTTACCATGGTAACTTGTTACCATGGCACTGTTGGGGGATATTTGAATCCAGTTTTAGTAGCTCTGTATCTACAATTCTTTTGTATAGATCCCTCAGTTTAATGCATTTATGCAGTATCCTGGTATGTATTGCTCTATGGGAAGTGTCAGGTAGATAGATAGATAGATATATAGATAGATTTCAAAACTTTTGTATTTCTATAACCATATTTTTTCAATTTATCCCATAATGCAGATATGATCAAATTAAAAAAAGATCAATTTTCAAAAAAAGAAAAAAAAAAAAAAGGCTTGAAGGGCTTAGAGAAAGAAAAGGGCCAGTTGTGAGAATGAATCTTTCGGAGCATTTGACAGCACAGTAATGTAACTACACCCTGGTGTCTGATGATTTTGATGATTTCTCTCTGTAACTTGATTCTTAACCCTGAATCATTACTCTCTTTAACTCCAGGCATGCCGAGGTGATGAAGAAGATAATTCAGACTGTCGCTGAGGGAGGCGGGGAGCTTGGGGTTCATATGTACCTTATGATTTTCCTCAAGTTTGTGCAAGCAGTCATTCCAAGTATAGAATATGACTACACAAGACACTTTACTATGTAGACCAGTTAGGAGAGCATGAGTTTCCATATCAGAGTGTCACATAACATGATATTTTACTGTATAAATCAGAAGGAAGATGGGAATTCCTATTGAGCATTGAATATTACTTAACAAATGACTTGACTGGATGAATCAGTTGGATTACACGTATTTCCAGTACGGAAGGTGATTACTTTAATCATTTTCCATGTAAAAACAGAAGATAGCATCAATTGCATAGAATTTGAAGACAAAACCAAGACCCCAGTGAAAAAGTGCCCTAGCCTTGTTATGCAAAGGAGAACCGAATATTCTTTATATTAAATGTATGCCTTTCAACGCGGGAGATGTTCTCAACTGTTGGTAAAGCAGAACATAAAATTTACAATTTGAATTAAAGAAATTTTAAAAAAAAAGAACTCAGGCTTAGTATGATTCCAACATTAAAAGTAAAAGCTGTATTAATTCCGTAAATAGCCAGGGAGTGCATTTAACTGAAGGGATTAATTATCAAAGATGCCAAAAAATGCAGAAATAACGTATGAAGGCCACCGGAGGAAGGTTGTAAAAATTCCTTTTGTTGAAAAGGCAGAAATTTGTAAATTAGGGAAACAATCACTACAGGGTAAATATGACACCCACTGTAGATACAATATAATGAATTTATGTAAGAAGCTATAGCGCGAGTGACACTGACCTGTGTTCTTACAAATAAATCAATAATGTAAACCGAGCTTAGTTGAATCTTTTTAATACGGTACATCAAGATTTACACTTTTTACACATGATTATTATGAAAAAAACAAATATCTGAAAATTATATAATTATTTTACAGGTGTTGGCTTAATTTTTTATTCAGACAGACCTTTTCCGGTCAAGACCATAAAAGGTGCAGTTTCAATTTCAGTAATTTTGAAAAAGGCAACCGTTACATTTAAAGCAATTCAAGACATACGTCTATGATGGTGCTAAATAAAAGAACAAACTGATAGATTAAATACTGATTTTTTGATTTGATTAATAATTGTGGTGGATCTAAGATTTTATCAATTGAGGGGAGCACAAGAACATTTTTATGCCAGGAAAGCAAGGCACTGTCTTAGGCAACGTAACAGTTTTGGTTAAGTTTAGATGATTAACTGACGTAAACAAACAACATCAAAGCCATCCGTCTTTAGTTTCTTTATTCAAGCCTCTTTTTATATTGGTACAGAGAGAGAGAGAGAGATGGTTGCACAGTAAGTATTGAATCTCAGTAGGACTAAAACAAATAGCTTTAGATCCATCTAATCGTAAGTCTAAGTCAGCTTATTCTGTACTTCAGACAATAAATTACACAGTAGATAACATGTGGTAGTCTATTAAAATTTTTTACCGATTGCTCTGCCATAAATATCTATTGGCGTATTATACTCAAGTGCTACATACAAAGCAGTAGGGGCCTATATATGCCAGTGCATGTAATTTTTATCTTGTTGAAGATAATCAGACGGCGTGACGTCACGTGACGTGTAGACTAGCACCACCACCACGGTCTACTAGAGTCGCAGCAACACCCGACAGGTGCGCGGATCCAAATCCAAAGTGGATTCTTGTAATACCATATCAGCACACGTTTCCAGCCCCACTCCGTTCTACAACGCCAGCACAAAAATCGAAACCTTCTTCCTTCAAAAATGGCGGCTCTGCATCGACTTGATCTGAAAAAGTAAGAAAAATCAAATGATTTCAACTAGTAGTAACTCATTTTGATACGTAAATGGACGTTCGACAATCAGTTTATTTCTTTATTCATTTATCATTTGATTATCCCATATCAAGAAGGCAGCTGTGGCAATTCATAGTTGCATTGAAAACAAATGACATAATTGCACTTGTGTCTATTTTTAGTGCTCGTAGCCTTGGCTTTGTGCCTGCGTATGAAAAAAGATGAGGCTACAAATCAACACTGCATCAGGATTCAATGTCTTATTAATGGAAATGAAACTCACCGCATCGGGCCACACTTGGCACCGTGTGCAAGACCTGTACGAACCTGACTCTCACGACCTTATTGGTCTAAATATGGGTATTTCAAAAGTTTCCTGCATGAATTCCCTGTAGGATCTTATAGAAAAGTTTATAGGACCCTATTGGACATGATTACTTCTATACTATTTCAAACTAGCAGAGAAATACATTTACAACTGTCAATGGGGAAGGAGACGGAGATTCAAAGTAGACGCACGGAAATTTCAAGCTGAGACTTCATCAATATTTCTTGCTCAAAGAATAGTTAATAAAGGTATTACAATTAAAAAAAAAATTATCACTATTTTAATTCAACGAGTAGGGGAAATGGATGGAATGAAAACTTACATACAGTACCACCAGTGATACCAGTGCCATCCCCACCAGGGGTAGTTCATGACAGGCCACCAATCATTTCCCCAGTAAACCCACCACAGTGTGATCCAGTAATCCACAGTCCGACACTGATCAACCAGACTGGAATGTAAAAATATGTATGAAATATAAGACAATTACTTTATGTGGAGCAGGTGCTGTATTAGGAAGTAGGACTTAAACTACAGATGAAATTTATTTGATTTTTTAATTAATTTTTCCGACTTTTGGCAAATCATCTATTTCCCCAACCCATGTTCTAGGAGTCCGGGGCCCTATTTCAGGAAGTTCGTAAAGCATGTCAAGGCTTGTGTGATTTTTCTGGTTCTACATACTGATCTTTTTCAAACGTTGAATTTACCAATGCAATCGCGGGTTGCTGAAGAGGTAGGGGATAGAATAATAGGCCTATACGAGAACAATTTTACTTTAATCCGAGGTCAAGGGATTCACAAATTACACGTAGGCCTACTTGGTTTTGTCTTGATTCCCTTGTTATACGTATTGTATTGTAACAATCGACGAAAAAAATAAGTAGTGTTACGCACAACTTACAGGATCACACCAATTTTGTCCACCATGTAGGGCGGCGCCAGCTGTGTGTCACAGACTCTGTCCTGTCGGTGAGTGTCGTCTGCACTATCTGGTTGCTGTGTGGGGAATTTGCTATGCTCGTGGACCTCCCTGTTGAAATAACGTACACGTATATCAGGGGCGGATTTAGGCCGTCTTCTGGGTCTTCCAGAAGACGGTCAGATTTTCAAGTTTACATTGATGGGTATCTAATTTTTTCTGTCGGAAGACGGTCAGAAAATGGAGGATGGATCAACAAAGATAATTTGGAAGACTGTCAGAAAATAACTCTGGATCCGTCCCTGTATATTGTAAATAGGTCGCAGACAAAGGGAAAAGAAAACATATTTTAATAGAGAGAATGATGTATGTTAGGCCTACATAAAATATCTTATAGTTTACTAAAAAAAGATGTATAATTTTTAAAGAAAGGCACGCACAGACAGGTAATGCCAAATAAAAAAGAGTAGGAAGGAAGAGATAAAGTATCTTGTGAACAAGAAAAAAGGGAAAAAGGCAAAGAAAATATGAAAAGAAAAAGCAAGAAAGAAACGTAAAGTTAATATAAAGGCTCAGCACACCGCGTGCTCTCCAGTCAAAGAAGACCCAGAAGTGAATACACTCACGCTGGGTAGGGTTTGCCATCCGGTGACGTGGTTTGGTTTGATGAGAACCCGGTCACTATTAACNGCATGGTGGTTATTTTTTGGGGGAATAAAATTTGACACTTCTATAAATTGTGTATGTCAAAAAAATGTTACATTAACTTCAATCAGCGTCAGATTTCTGTTTTAAAAGAGGGACGTACAATAACATTCCAATGTTTTAGACAAGCACCAAAAGTTTTTTTTTCTCTAAATTAACTAAAATCTTTATTGATAATTTGCCTCTTTAATAACTCTAGAACCGTAAGCCCCTCACAGTGGATCAGATGTACGAGGACTTCAGCCAGGATCATGCCAAAAAAACTGTTACCATGGAGACACATCCTCACCTGCCTGGACCACCAATGGCATCAGTGCATCCCTGCAGGTATATTACCGTGATATATTGTTACCATGGTACTGTTGGGGAATATTTGAATCGAGTTTTAGTAGCTTGTATCTACAATTCTTTTGTACAGATCCTTCAGTTTGGTGCATTTATGCAGTATCCTGGTATGTATTGCTCTATGGGAAGTGTCAGATAGATAGATAGATTTCAAAACTTTTGTATTTCTATAATCATATATTTCAGTTTATCCCATAATGCACATATCATCAAATTAAAGATCAATTTTCTCAAAAAAAAAAAAAAGGGGGGGTCAAAGGGCTAAGAGAAAGAAAAGGGCTAGTTGTGAGAAGGAATATTTCAGAGCATTTGACAGCACAGTAATGTACTACTGCCAGTTAGTAAACCACCCTTGTGTCTGATGATTTTGATGATTTATCTCTGTGACTTGATTCTTAACCCTAAATCATTACTCTCTTTAACTCCAGACATGCCGAGGTGATGAAGAAGATAATTCAGACTGTCGCTGAGGGAGGCGGGGAGCTTGGGGTTCATATGTACCTTATGATTTTCCTCAAGTTTGTGCAAGCAGTCATTCCAAGTATAGAATATGACTACACAAGACACTTTACTATGTAGACCAGTAGGAGAGCATGAGTTTCCGTATCAGAGTGTCACGTAACATGATATTTTACTGTATAAATCAGAAGGACGACATAAATTTCTATTGGCATTGAATATTACTTAAAACAAATGACTTGAGTGGGTGAATAATTTGGATTACACGTATTTCCAGTATGGAAGATGATTACTTAAGTCATTTTCCATGTAAAAACAGAAGATAGCATCAGTTGCTTAGAATTTGAAGACAAAACCAAGACCCCATTGAAAAACTGCCCCACCCTTGTTATGCAAAGGAGAACTGACTATTCTTTATATTAAATGTATGCCTTTCAAGGCAGGAGATATTCTTAACTGTTGGTAAGGCAGAACATAAAATTTACAATTTTATTAAAGAATTTAAAAAAAGAACTCAGGCTAAGTATGATTCATCATTATAAGTAAAAGCTGTATTAATTCCGTTAATAGCCAGGGAGTGCATTTAACTGAATGGTTTAATTTTCAGAGATGCCCAAAAAAAATGCAAAAATATTGTAGAAAAGTCCGCCTGAGTAACGTTGTGTAAACTCCTTTTGTTTGAGGAGGCGGACATTTGTAAATCAGAGAAACAGTCACTACAGGGTAAAAATTGCGCCCACTGTAGATACAAGATTTTGAATTTATGTAAGTAGCTATAGCGTGAGTGACACTGACCTGTGTTCTTACAAATAAATAAATCAGTGAATAATATAAACTGAGCTTGGTTGAATCTTTTTAGTAGGGCACATCAAGATTTTCCCTATTTTACATGGCATATGATGATGAGGAAAACAAATATCTGAAAATTATGAAATTATTTTGCAGGTGTTGGCTAAATTTTTGATTCAGATAGACCTTTTTCGGTCGAGACCATAAAAGGTGCAGTTGTTTCAATTTCAGTCATTTTGAAAAAGGCAAAATTTATACTTTAAAAAACAAGAAAAACATGCTTTTCTGACTGCTTCTGGTGCTAAATAAAACAACAAACTGATAGATTAATTACCGATTAGTTGATTTGATTAATAAATGTGGTGGATTTTTATGCGAGGGAAGCAAGTCACTGTCTTAGGCAACGTAACAGTTTTGGTTAAGTTTAGATGATTAACTGATGTAAACAACATCAAAGCCATCCATATTTGATTTCTTTATTCACGCATCTTTCTATACTCGTACAGACAGAGAGAGATATGGTTGCACAATACTATGTATTAAATCTCAGTAGGCCTAAAACAAATACCGGTAGTCAGCTTTAGATCTAAACATAAATCATAGTCCAAGTCAGCTTATTCTGTACTTCGGACAAAAAGTTACATGTGGTAGTCTATAAGAATTTTGTACCGATTGCTCCTCCATAAATATCTATTGGCGTATTATACTCAAGAGCTACATACAAAGCAGTATATATGCCAGTGCATGTATTTTTTATCTTGTTGAAGATAATCAGATGGCGTGACGTCACGTGACGTGTAGACTAGCACCACCACCACGGTCTCCTAGAGTCGCAGCAACACCCGACAGGTGCACGGATCCAAATCCAACGCAGATTCTTGTAATACCATATCAGCACACGTTTCCAGCCCCACTCCGTTCTACAACGCCAGCACAAAAATCGTAACCTACTTCCTTCAAAAATGGCGGCTCTGCATCGACTTGATCTGAAAAAGTAAGAAAAATCAAATGATTTCAACTAGTAGCAACTCATTTTGATACGTAAATGAACGTTCGATGATCAGTTTATTAATTAATTAATTTATTTATTTACTTAATTATGGTTTGGTTATCCCATATCAAGAAGGCAGCTGTGGCAATTCATAGTTGCATTGAAAACAAATTACTGAATTGCACTGGTGTCTATTTTAGTGCTCATAGTCTTGGCTTTGTGCCTGCGGATGAAAAAAAGATGAGGCTAAAATCAACACTGCACCAGGACGTAACGTCTTATTAATGGAAATGAAATTCACCGCATCGGGCCACGCTTGGCACCGTATGCAAGACCTTTACGAACGTGACTCTCGCGACCTTATTGGTCCAAATTGNCTTACTTCGAGTAGCGAAAATATGTTTTTTTCGCATAAAACTTTTACTGCATTTTCGAAACTTCCACAAGTTTACCGGATGAATGACCATGCCACGTGACATTTTTATGCTGAAGGAGCACATGATCGGTCTTGTGATTTAAGAAATAAAGCCAATGTTCCAACTTACCCGCGTTCCAACCCACCCCGCTCTCCCCTACATACAGGTGACTTTAAAAAGCAGAGGATTTTCTTTTGTATTCCGTGAAAAATACACTAAATTTATATAAAATAATATCATGGTTGGCCAAAAAAATTGTACGCACAGTGCATCCGTGCGTATGCCTAGTTACGCCCATGCCAAATATGGGTATTTCAAAACTTTCCTGCATGAATTCCCTGTAGGATCTTATAGAAAAGTTTGAATATTGGTCATGATTACTTTTATACTATTTCAAACTAGCAAAGAAATACATTTACAACTATCAATGGGGAAGGAGACGGAGATTCAAAGTAGACGCACGGAAACTTCAAACCCAGACTTCATCAATATTTCCTGCTCATAGAATAGTTAATAAAGGTATTACAATTAAAAAAAAACTATCACTATTTTAATTCAACGAGTAGGAAATGGATGAAATAAAAACTTACAGACAGTACCACCAGTGATACCAGTGCCATCCCCACCAGGGGTAGTTCATGACAGGCCACCAATTATTTCCCCAGTAAACCCACCACAGTGTGATCCAGTAATCCACAGTCCGACACTGATCAACCAGACTGGAATGTAAAAATATGTACGAAATATAAGACAATTACTTTATGCGGAGCAGGTGCTGTATTAGGAAGTAGGACTTAAACTACAGATGAAATTTATTTGATTTTTTTAATTAATTTTTCCGACTTTTGGCAAATCATCTATTTCCCCAACCCATGTTCTAGGAGTCCGGGGCCCTATTTCAGGAAGTTCATAAAGCATGTCAAGGCTTGTGTGATTTTTCTGGTTCTACATACTGATCTTTTTCAAACGTTGAATTTACCAATGCAATCGCGGGTTGCTGAAGAGGTAGGGGATAGAATAATAGGCCTATACGAGAACAATTTTACTTTAATCCGAGGTCAAGGGATTCACAAATTACACGTAGGCCTACTTGGTTTTGTCTTGATTCCCTTGTTATACGTATTGTATTGTAACAATCGACGAAAAAAATAAGTAGTGTTACGCACAACTTACAGGATCACACCAATTTTGTCCACCATGTAGGGCGGCGCCAGCTGTGTGTCACAGACTCTGTCCTGTCGGTGAGTGTCGTCTGCACTATCTGGTTGCTGTGTGGGGAATTTGCTATGCTCGTGGACCTCCCTGTTGAAATAACGTACACGTATATTGTAAATAGGTCGCAGACAAAGGGAAAAGAAAACATATTTTAATAGAGAGAATGATGTATGTTAGGCCTACATAAAATATCTTATAGTTTACTAAAAAAAGATGTATAATTTTTAAAGAAAGGCACGCACAGACAGGTAATGCCAAATAAAAAAGAGTAGGAAGGAAGAGATAAAGTATCTTGTGAACAAGAAAAAAGGGAAAAAGGCAAAGAAAATATGAAAAGAAAAAGCAAGAAAGAAACGTAAAGTTAATATAAAGGCTCAGCACACCGCGTGCTCTCCAGTCAAAGAAGACCCAGAAGTGAATACACTCACGCTGGGTAGGGTTTGCCATCCGGTGACGTGGTTTGGTTTGATGAGAACCCGGTCACTATTAACGTCCCGTCCTCGAGAGTTGTTCTGAAGATAGCGCCGTCTGGGTTTTCGGGGAATCCTCCTGCATCATCAGTGGGTGGTGGTGGTGGTGGTGGTGGTTTTGTGTCTTCAGTGGGGGCTGGTAGTGTGTATTTAATGGGTGGTAGTGTGTATTTAATGGGTGGCACATGTGTGTAATTGATGGGGGGCAAAGTATACGATTCTCTAATTATTAGTCCAGCCACCGCGTTCAGGTCCGTCAGACCCAGCACTACAAGGGTTGATAGAAACGTCGTCATCACGACAATTTTTCTGAAAGAAAAGAAGGCATAAATTATCAATAATAATAATAATAATAATAATAATTTAATCTTTTTTAATAATAATAATAATAATAATAATAATAATAATAATAATAATAATATAGCCTACAGAGTGTGTAGGGTTGGCCATCAGCTGGAAATTGATGTCCTCAAGAATTACACGGGATAGGCCTACAGCGCAGTCTGCATTTGCGAGGGATTTTACATCAAATTGGGTTGTTAATTGTCCCGTCTGGCCCGGCAGAACACTACCCGACACCAAATAAACTTAGCCATCATGGCGATTTTCATAAAGAGGAAAATGAACAGGCCTATAGGTAAATTAGAATTAAGATCAAATATCCCTTAAGGAAAATGCCAATTGCGTTTCGTTGTTTCAAACCATCCACATATCCTTTCATTACCTATCAGGAGCTTCTAAAATAGTAGGCCTATAAGTAGGCCTATATTCGAAACAATAATTTTGTAATAGATTAAATAAGCCTAATTAACGGACCCTGTAGTCAGGGTTTGCCTTTCATAATGCCTCAGAGGAAACCCTTCGTGTTTTTCAACTTTAAGAGACAAAAGACAGGAATTTGAGGGCATTCTACAAGCACGAAGTGCTTCTTGTTGAAATAACCTGGGGACAATTACAACTTTTAAAGCATAAATTGACAGAAAGATGGCCTTTATCAACTCCGCAAAAAGTAACCATATTCAACCTTTGTAGTCAGTCGTTGTGACAAGCTAGCTCTGAAGCGCAGGTTTTGATTTTTTTTATTTTTCAAAAAAATAGTTACAGGGTTATGGTGAGTGTCACAAGAGGACTATTAAAGGTTGGTAAGTCGGGGGAAATTCCATTAATCCCAGTTAATTTCGATAAATGTGAGTTTTGTCGTGAAAATTCTGGCTTGTGTTCTTTTAAGGGAAAATGATACAGTAATTTCTAACATACGGCATTGCAAGCAAACAACTACCTAATTAATTTTTGGATGCACATGAGTGGATCTCCAAAACTGAACGCATTTTTGAATGTTATCAATTTTGCACTGAAGTTTTAAAACAGTGGCCTTTAAGAATAAAGGTACAAGTATGACCAGCCTTACTTTTACCTCTGTTAACTAATGCAGTGTTTCTTTATTATCCAAAATAGATGTAAACCAAAATCAAATACAAAATAAGCAGAAACTGAATGTGATATTACTAAAATATAACAAACGGCGCCTATTTTGAGTTCCAATTCGAGTAGTGAACCATTTTTCTTTATGCACTGCATACGATTTAAAAAGCAAAATAACATAAAAACGAAATTACAGTACCTTTGCTTGTCAGTCGCTGCGCTCTGAATTCGCTGAAGAAATTCTGTTTATTAGAATTTTGAAAGGGTTGTATTTATAGAATTCGTCAAGGAAATAAAAGAGAAAAGTTTCGATTATAAATTAAAATGAGTCATTATTCAGGGCCTCCCAACTGGTTATTCAAAAGATTTGACAAAAACAACATGGTATATATAAATGTTTTGGCATTTATCCATCTGTCAAAGACAAAATAAAATGGATGAATTAATAAATTAATAAATAACAAGAAAAAATGAACGAGTAATTTTCAACCTGAAAACGTCAATTTCATTTAATTTCTTTAATAAATATGCGAGATTTGCAACTGTCTACATCAAACAACAAATCTGTTGGTTACTGAAAAAAAAGGCCAATCAAAATTTCACTCAGTGTTTTGATTGAATGGAAAGGGGGAATTTACGTCGGACATTAAGTATCGAAAAAGCGACCAAGATCCGATTTTTCGTTGCACGTCATTTCCTGTTGCTTATCTTCAGGATAGCTATTTTATAAGTACATTTAAAGCGATTCAATTCGATGGTAATTTTTTAATGCATTCAAAGCAATTAAAGCATTCTGCGAGGTACCTGAAGATCTCCCTTGGTGGATTTGGCTGTTTAAAACACGGCTGTTTAAAACACGTTTTTGAAATGATACCTGTTTTGCTGCTGTTAAGTAACCCTTTACTGAATATTCATTTTATAGCTTTTAAATGTAGTGCGTACTTAAAACGAAATTTCTATTGAGCATTGAATATTACTTAGCAAATGACTTGAGTGGGTGAATAATTTGGATTACACGTATTTCCAGTATGGAAGATGATTACTTAAGTCATTTTCCATGTAAAAACAGAAGATAGCATCAATTGCATAGAATTTAAAGACAAAACCAATACCCATGTGAAAAACTGCCCTAGCCTTGATATGCAAGGGAGAACCGAATATTCTTTATATTAAATGTAAGCCTTTCAAGGCGGGAGATGTTCTCAATTGTTGGTAAAGCAGAACATAAAATTTACAAATGGAATTAAAAGAAATTAAAAAAAGGAACTCTGGCTAAGTATGATTCCAACATTAAAGTTAAAAGCTGTGTTAATTCCGTTAATAGCCAGGGAGTGCATTTAACTGAATTGATTAATTTTTAAAGATGCAAAAAAAAAAAAATAATAATAATAATAATAATAAATAAAAAAATAAATAAATAAAGTAGAAAAGTCCACCTGGGGAATGTTGTAAAAATTCCTTTTGTTTGAGAAGGCAGAAATTTGTAAATCAGACAAACAATCACTACAGGGTAAATACAGTGCCGCCGGAATGTCCCCTTACCAAATGGCCGTATGGTTTCCCAACCCTGCCCCATATGGTCGAACAATAGAGGCCGTATGATAATTACAGGGTAGGGGAATCCCCAAGCAATCCTTATCGGACACCCAAATTAGTCGATTCAACGAACACGGTCTGCCCCTTCTTAATTGCCTCACTTAAGGTTTCTATTATAGCTGATGCAAAGAGATTGCTATCGTCACAAGCAAACAATACCGGGTTATGTATCAACTGCAACAGAAGACTCGAGTAAAGGCAAGTCGAATATTAGAAAAAAACTCTGAAGAACAAATCAGGCTTAGTTTTAAAACACGTATAACAATTTTATTTGATGAAAATAAGTCACGATCAACAAAAGCGTAGGTAAAATGGAACATTTTAAATAGCTTATACATCAAATAAATATCAATGTCTCATTACCTCTTCTCTCACATAGTAAATGGCTTGTCGCGACACTTTATGGCCTTCATTTTCCATTTGTGCGGTTATGTTTTTAATTCGCACCCCTTGTTCTCGGAGGGCGATGATACGCAGACGCACGTAATCGCTAAGAGGCATCTTGGAATTGTGATGATTTGGAAAATCTGAGTGCCGATTTATACCGTTCACTTGGCATGTGACACGATGGCACAGAAATCAGTGACATAAACATGTCATATTATACAAAATACTTATTGGCCATTTAGGAAGTCTAGATACACAAACAATCCTGTTGACACGTGGCAGTTGATTTAGAATTATGTGCAATTGATTAGTTTGGATTGAAGAGCGTCATCGCAATGTTAGCATTAATTTTAGACGACGCGTGTCACACAGTAGTGATTATATAATAGTCAGGGCTTAATCACTGCGTTTACCCAGCATGAATAAAGCTAACCTGAACTGATTGTTAATTAATGTGAGATGACACGTGCCAACCAGTGAAGTTAGCCCGAGAGATCGTAATCCAGTCTTTTAAATTAATTTCTTTTGATGCTTTTAAGTATGAAGAAGGCTTTTGGTTAAGTTTGGGCTTTAGGTCGTAAAGATGAACTATTCCTATCGTTTTGAATTACATATCAATCAATGATAGAGAAACAGTTGCCTTCTGACAGCATTATAGATATTCCTAGTTTTCCAAATACATTCGAACTGCATTTGAGAGTTAAAACAGACGAAAGTGCACTTATCATCCCAGGCGAATTCAAGGGCATTATGAGTATTCCAACGGTACTCTTACAATAAACTTTAGGCTAATTTAAAAAGCAAGTAATTTGGAAGCATGCGGGCATCATTAAGTAATTCATGCATACCTGGACTATGAACAAAGCCAATAGAAATATAAGGACATACTATAAAAATAAATTTCAATCTTGTTAATAATATGTATATAGCAAAGGCAGTATGAAGCCTAATAAATATTACATGTACAAGTACGAGTAGTGTTTTATTTGATCTTTAATAAATTCATAAATTCATTTATTAAACTCTATGTAAATTCAATCAATTCATAGCTACAATGTACACGAAAATTGCTGTCATCACCGAATCTTTTTGGTAAAGCGACTTTTAAAAATCACTGTTGGCAAGTTTTTATACTTAAAATCTCCGTATCAGAGTAGAGTGATCAAAGTAGAGTGAAGCCACCGCGCATTAAAGGTCAGTTAACGCTTGGACGAACTTTTAATTGCGACCACGCTCACCTTCGATCTTTATTTCAGCGAGCTAGGGTTAGGCTCTTTTGTTAGCAGAAAGTTTGTCACGATAATTGCCCGACGGGCAGGGTATGGAACTATTGTTAACAGAAACCAAACAGGGTATGGATGACAATGTTATTTCCATAGTTACCGGGCCAGGCCGTCCGTACAACCCGCAGCGACCCGGAGGGTAAGTAAGGGGACATTCCGGCGGCACTGTATGACACCCACTGTAGATACAATATAATGAATTTACGTAAGTAGCTATAGCGTGAGTGACACTGACCTGTGTTCTTACAAATAAATAAATCAGTAACGTTAACCGAGCTTAGTTGAATCTTTTTAATATGGTACATCAAGATTTACACTTTTTACACATGATTATTATGAAAAAAACAAATATCTGAAAATTATATAATTATTTTACAGGTGTTGGCTTAATTTTTTATTCAGACAGACCTTTTCCGGTCAAGACCATAAAAGGTGCAGTTTCAATTTCAGTAATTTTGAAAAAGGCAACCGTTACATTTAAAGCAATTCAAGACATACGTCTATGATGGTGCTAAATAAAAGAACAAACTGATAGATTAAATACTGATTTTTTGATTTGATTAATAATTGTGGTGGATCTAAGATTTTGTCAATTGAGGGGAGCACAAGAACATATTTATGCCAGGGAAGCAAGGCACCGTCTTAGGCAACGTAACAGTCTTGGTTAAGTTTAGATGATTAATTGGCGTAAACAAACAACATCAAAGCCATTCGTATTTGATTTCTTTATTCACGCCTCTTTCTATACTGGTACAGAGGAAGAGAGAGAGAGATATGGTTACACAATACTATATATATTAAATCTCAGTAGGCCTAAAACAAATACCGGTAGTCGGCTTTAAATCTAAACGTGAAAAATCAAAAGTCCAAGTAATAGCTTATTCTGTACTTCAGACAAAAAGTTACGCGGTAGATAACATGTGGTATATTAGAATTATGGACCGATTGCTCTGCCATAAATATCTATTAACGTATTATACTCCAGTGCTACCTACAAAGCAGTATATATATGCGCGTGCATTTTGAAGATAATCGTGACGTCACGTGACGTGTAGACTAGCACCACCACTGATTCCTAATGTCGCAGCAACACCCGACAGGTGCGCGGATCCACATCCAGCGCGGGATCCAGTAATACCACACCGGCACACGTTTCCAGCCCCACTCCGTTCTACAGCGAGAGCACAAATATCGAAACCTTCTTCCTTCAAACATGACGGCTCTGCATCGACCTGGTCTGAAAAAGTAAGAACAATCAAATGATTTCAACTAGCAGCAACTCATTTTGATACATAAATGAACGTTCGACGATGAGTTTATTAATTAATTAATTCATTTATTTAATTATGGTTTGGTTATCCCATATCAAGAAGGCAGCTGTGGCAATTCATAGTTGCATTAAAAACAAATGACTTAATAACACTTGTGTCTATTTTAGTGCTCGTAGTCTTGGCTTTGTGCCTGCGTATGAAAAAAGATGAGGCAACAAATCAACACTGCATCAGGATTCAACGTCTTATTAATGGAAATGAAATTCACCGCATCGCGCTGCGCTTGGCACTGTGTGCAAGACCTTCAAAAAAACAAACCCTAGGGACCTTATTGGTCCAAATATGGATATTTCAAAAGTTTCCTACATGGATTTCCTGTTGCATCTTATGGAAAAGTTTATAGGACCCTATTGGGCATGGGTACTTTTATACTATTTCAAACTAGTAAAGAAATACAACTGTCAAGGAGACGAAGCTTCAAAGTAGAAGCACGGAAATTTCAAACCGAGATTTCATCATTATTTCTTGCTCATAGAGTAGTTAATAAAAGGACTACAATTTAAAAAAATATCACTATTTTAATTCATCGAGTAGGAAATGGATGTAATGCAATGAAAACTTACAAACAATACCACCAGTGATGCCAGTGCCATCCCCACCAGGGGGAGTTCATGACGGGCCACCAAATATTTCTCCAGTAAACCCACCACGGCCTGACCCAGTAATGCACCGTCCGGCAATAACTAATCTGACTGGAATGGACAAATATATATGAAATAATTGACAATAATCTTATATGTAAAAGGCGTTGTGTTTTAAAGTAAACTACAGATGAAATTAATATAATTTTTTTTTCTGACTTTTGACAGATTAGTAATTTTCCAGTCCCAAGTTCTACGAGTCTGAGACCCTAATTCAGTTAGTTCGTAAAGCATGTCTAGGCTTGTGTAATTTTTCTGGTTCTACGTGCTGATCTTTTTCAAATGTTGAATTTACCATTGCAATCGCGGGTTGCTGAAGAGGTAAGGGATAATACGAGAAGAGTTTTACTTTTATCCGAGGACATAGGGATTCACAAATTACTTGTTTTGTCTTGATTCCCTTGTTATACGTATTGTATTGTAACAATCGAAGAAAAAAAGTTATTAGTGTTACGTGCAGTACCTGATCTGCCGCTTGGCCACCAGGTGGGGGTGCGCCTGTATGTCAGAGACGCCGTCTTGTGGGTGAGAGTCGTCTGCACCTTCTGGTTGGTGTGTGGGGAATTCGCTATGTTCGTGGACCTCCCTGTTAAAATAATGTGCATGTGTATTGTTAATTGATCACAGACTAAAAAAAATCCAGATAGAATTTACATAGACCGAATAATGCATGTTACATGAAAATATCTTATAGTTTAATAAAAAAAAAGTATAATATTTGAAGAAAGGCGCGTACGGACAGGTAATGCGAAATAAAAAAAAAGAGTAGGAAGGAAAAGAGAAAGTAAGAGAGTAAAGAACAAGAAAAAATAGAAAAAAGCAAAGAAAAAAAGAAAAAAAAGTCAGGTTGATATACAGGATCAGCACAGACGACCCAGAGGTGAATATACTCACGCTGGGTAGTGTTTACCATCCGGTGACGTGGCTTGGTTTGTTGAGAACCCGGTCACTATCAACGTCCCGTCCTCGAGATTTGTTCTGAATATAGCGCCGTCTGGATTTTCGGGGAATCCTTCTGTATCATCAGTGGGTGGTGGTGGTGGTGGTGGTGGTGGTGGTGGTGGTGTGTCTTCAGTGGGGGGTGGGAGTGTGTAATCAGTGGGAGGGGGGTGAATTGTTAACGGAAATAGTCCAGCCACCGCGTTCAGGCCCGTCAGACCCAGTATTACTAGGCTAGTCAGAAACATCGTCATCACGAAAATTTGTCTGAAAGAAAAGAATTTTTAAATAATAATAATAATAATACTAAACAATATAGGCCTACAGAGTGCACAACGTTTGCCATCAGGTGGCAATTGATGATTTGTTAAAAATCCGCTAACTAAACTAAAGCCAACTCGCCCTCAAGATTTACACGGAAATAGACCTACGGCGCCGTCTGCACTTGCGAGGGATTTTACATCAAATTGGGCTGTTAATTGTCCCGCCTGGCCTGGCAAAGCTTTACACGACACCAAACAAACTAAGCCATCACGGCGATTTCCATAAAGAGGAAAATGAATATTGATAAATTTCAATTTAGACCAAACATCCGTTAAGGAAAATGTCCATTGCGTTCCTGTTGTTTCAAACCATCCTGTTTCACGTTCATATATTCTTTCATTGTCCTCTGATATCATATCTAATATTGTAACAGATTAGTAACTAGCGGACCCTGTAACCAGAGGTTATCTTTCATAATGTCTCAGAGGCAGTCCGTCGTGTTTTACGACTTTAAGAGACAAAAGACAGGAATGTGAAAGGCATTCTACGAGCACGGGGACAATTACAAATTTTAAAGCATAAATTGACAGAAAGATGGCCTTAATCAACAGCGCAAAAAGTAACCATATTCAACCTTTGTAGAAAGTCGTTGTGACAATCCAGCGCTGAAGCGCAGGTTTTGAATTTTTTTTTATTTTCAAAAAAATTGTTACAGGGTTATGGTGAGTGTCACAAAAGGGAGATTTAAGGTTAGTAAGTCGGGGGAAAATTCCATCTATCCCAGTAAATTTCGAGTTTTGGCGTGAAATCTTGGCTTGTGTTCTTTTTTGGGGAAATGATACAGAAATTTCTGACCATATGACCTTGCACTCAAAACAACTTCCTTTAAATTAATTTTGGATGTACATTTATGAGTGGATCTCCAAAACTGAACGCATATTTGAATGTTATCAATTTTGCACTTAAGTTTTAAAACAGTGACCTTTACGAATAAAGGTACAAGAATGATCAGCCTTACTTTTACCTCTATGAACTCCTGCAGTGTTTCTTTATTATCCAAAATAGATGTAAACCAACATCAAACACAAAATAAGCAGAAGCTGAATGTGATATTACTAAAATATATAAAAAACGGCGCCTATTTTGAGTTCCAATTCGAGTAGTGAACCATTTTTCTTTATACACTGCATACGATTTAAAAAGCAAAATAATATAAAAACGAAATTACAGTACCTTTGCTTGTCAGTCGCTGCGCTCTGAATTCGCTGAAGAAATTCTGTTTATTAGAATTTTGAAAGGGTTGTATTTATAGATTTCGACAAGGAAATAAAAGAGAAAAGTTTTGATTAAAAATTAAAATGAGTCATTATTCAGCGCCGCTCAACTGGTTATTCAAAAGATTTGGCAAAAACAACATGATATATATTAATGTTTTGGCATTTATCCATCTGTCAAAGACAAAATAAAACGCATGAATTAATAAACAAATAAATAATATGAAAAAACTAAAGAATAATTTTCAAATCGAACCTGAAAACGTCAATTTCATTTAACTTCTTTGAAACTGTCTGCATCAAAAAACATATCTGTTGGTTACTGAAAAAAGAGGCCAATCAAAATTTCATTCAGCGTTTTGATTGGATAGAAAGGAGGAAATTCACGTCGGTCATTAAGTATCGAAATAGCGACCAAAAGCCGTTCTATCGTTATATCCCACGTCACTTCCTGTTTATTATTCTCAAGATTTTTTTATAGTGCATTTAAATCGATTCAATTCGATGGTAATTTATTAATGCATTCAAAGCAATTAAAGCATTCTGCGAGGTACTTGAAGATCTCCCTCGGTGGTTTTGGCAAAATCAGTTTAGCTGTTTAAAACACGTTTTAAAAGTGTTTTGCTGCTGCTGTAATCCCTTACTGAATATTCATTTTATAGCTTTTAAATGAAGAGCGTACTTAAAACGAAAATCCCTGGCTTCTTATTTACAAAATGAAAACAGGAGGAAATTGTCACGCAGTTAAAATTAGACCGTTGGGGTCTACGGGGTCATTCCCAATGAAAATATCGTTCTACGGAGATCGATCCAACTCCACGGGGACTTTTGCTGAATGTAATCAGACTAACAGATAAACACGCTTCCCCCTGGCATTGAGTAGAAAATAGAGAAAACTGACAAGTTATTGGAAACAATAGGGGGCGTGTTAATCCGTTAATCTGAGTCTCCGTAGAGTGGGATCATAGGACAGTGAGTTTCTCAAAGTGAATCAGGTATCCGGACTTCAGTCAGGCTCACGCCTAAAAACTGTTACCATGGAGACGCATCCTCACCTGCCTGGACCACCAATGACATTAGTGCATCCGTGCAGGTATGTGCCATGACAACTTGTTACCATGACAATGTTGTCAGAGGATAATTTATCAAATTTATCAAATTTTTATAATAATAATAATAATAATGATTATTATTATTATTATTTTTTTTATTATTATTATTTATTATTTTTATTATTATTATTGATCTATATCGATCTTTCATGTTTAGCTTGGTGCAAATATACATTGCAACTACATGTATGTGTGCCGCTCTATGCTTAAGTCTCTGAATATGAGAAGGATATAAAATTATAATTATAAGATTTCTAGGTTCACTGCTTGTGTTGAAGGAGCTTCCCAAAGGAACAGAAGATATTGAAAGGTTAAAATATGCATTTTATATAGAAAACTTGTCAAGACTTTAGTATCTCTAATCTGCACTTTTCAATTCATCCCAGTATGCATATGCTCAAATTGTAGATCAATGTTCTCACTGATCATCAAATTGTTAATGGAGAAAATGGCCCAGTAGGACTAGGAGAAAGAAAAGTGGCAGTTGTGAGAATGAATCTTTCAGAGCATTTGACAGCACAGTAATGTACTATTGCTTGTTAGTAAACCAGGAATATAACTACACCCGGGTAGTTGATGATTTTGATGATTTCTCTCAATTATTTGATTCTAAAACCTGAATCATTACTCCAGACATGCTGAGGCGACGAAGAAAATAATTTAGACTGTCGCCGAGGGTGGCGGTGAGCCATTTAACAAGTAAATTTTCGGGATTTTATTTTTCATTTTTGCCGAAATTTTGCTCCAATAGCTTTTGTTATTTCACATACTTTCTTAATTAATCTTGGTTGGTCATTATCCTACTTTATTCACATACTTGATTAATTATATATTATGGTATTTATATAGAATGGGGGTTGTATATTCATCCCCCGTTTTTTAACTGTGTATCATATTTTTCGTAATTCATAAATGACAATTTTCGGTCGTACATGTATACGCCTAAGTCCAATTTACTTTTGAGCGTTGTGCTTGTGGACATTTGGCAACATACATGTAAATTCCCTTTGTTTGCGAGGGCAGAAATGTCGACATTGTGTCTCTGTCTATTTCTTTTTTTTTTTTCGGTTTCTTTAACTGTCAGACAAATACGAGTAGTATGGAGCATCAAAAAAGGGTCGATCTTTAATCAGCAATTTCAAAACCTTTTCACCCTCTGAATTGACACAACTTGACAAAAGGCATAGAACCTAGATCAAATTTGGATTCAAAACGGATCCTTTCCGGTTCTTGTAAATTAAAAAAAAAATTAAAGTAACCGTTATATTTCAAGCAAAGCATTTTTGACGTAAAATAAAAAAAATAAAAATGAAAAAAAAAAATTAAACTGATTGATTTGATTATTAATTCTATTGGTGGATCCAGGGTTTTGTCAAATGAGGGGGGGGGGGAGACAATTTTTACACCAGTCGTTTTGCTGGTTATGAAGAGGGAGAAGTCATGATTCCGTAGCTGAGAACTGGGCACGGGTCTTCTGAGCCCCTCTCC